GCGAAGACCTCATAAACTCCACAAGATGCCTACTAAAGACAGTTGCCGAGACCAGACTATACGGACACCAGAAGTTGTGGCTCTACCAGCATCAAATCATCCCCAAAATAGCATGGCAGCTCGAGATACTTGATCTCAGCCACAGTTTCGCCAAACTCCTACACAGAATTTGCCTTCCATTCTTAAAGAAATGGGCAGGCTTGCCCAGACCCGCAGCACCAGCAATACTCTTCATCGGCGCTCGGGAGCGCTTCGGCCTACGTTTAACGTACATCCCTACGCTATGGAAGCAACGACAGGTCATTAGATGGAATATCATCAAGAACAGCAGCGACAAGAACATGGCAAACCTGTACCAACATCACAGCAAACAACAGTATCTGCTCACAAGACAATACTCCGCAATAAAAGAAATGGAATGTGCCGAGGCAGCGATCTCTGAAGCTAGTCCAACTAACCTCCAGCAAGGCAGGACAGGACTCGGCTTTAGGCATGACAAACAAGAGAAAATCAAACCTAGAAAACAAATACTCAATACCATTCATGAAGGTGACTGCCAAGACCAGCTATCCCACCTCAAAAGCCTGCAAATGCAAGGCAGCTGGTTAAAGTGGAGAGACACGATGTTTGAAGACCTCACTTGGAAAAAACTGTTGTACGAAGGCTACGGGAGAACTTTCTCCTTTCAACTAAACTGTGTATTAAACACACTACCAACAGTTGACAATCTGAGGAGGTGGGGTAACTCTGTGGTCGAACAACAATGCCCTCTATGCAACAGGCAAGCTACGCTCCGTCACATATTATCAGCATGTCCAACAGCCCTCCACCAGGGCAGATATACCTGGCGCCACGACAACGTACTGAAATGCATAGTAAAACTAGTAAACGAAACCATCCAAACTTATCAAAAGGCCACGGCATCAGCAGAAACGCAGAGTAATCAGAAGAGAATTGATTACATAACTTTCTGCAAGGCAGGAGAGAATCTCCCCAAACAGCCCCCCTCCCAACGCAAACGGCTAAATGACCAATTCGTAACTAGCTCAGCAGACTGGCAGGTCCTGGTGGACATGAAGGATGAGAAACTTGTTTTCCCCCACTTCATAGCACCTACAACCTGTCGTCCAGACATAGTGCTCTTCTCCAAAGAATTGAGAAGAGTTCTGTGGCTGGAACTCACGGTATGTAGTGAAGATCGCTTTGCACAATCGCGCGAAATCAAAATCGAACGCTATCGTCACCTTCATAACGCGTGTGTAAGGAATGGCTGGGAGACGGAAAGTCACACAGCAGAGGTGGGAGCGAGAGGCGCCATATCCACCAGCTTGGATTCCTTCGCGAGATCCTTGCGCTGCACTAAGGAACAGCGCAGGCTCTTGCGGAGGAATTGTCGCCAAGCAGCGCTGAACTCAAGCTATGTCCTATGGCTAAGGCGAAGGGAGCGAACATGGCGCGACTGGCCGTTGTATTAAAACTGTTTGGTGAACCTGTTGTAGAGCACTTGGTGGGCGATCGGCCACCCAGCGAGGATAGTTGGACGTCCTTAAAATCAAGATTTGAACTCGTCATTCCGGCCTCTAAAGGGCCGGGGGTGGACGATCGCCAACCTTGCCAACCTCTCGTAGTCACTTGTTCTTGTCGAATCGTTATTTTCATAGCCTACTCGACATTCGCCCTACAAATTACCATACATCACAACGCAACTACCTGTACATGACACACCATACCATACGGACACAACCACACCCCAACTGTACTGGGGGCCTATCCCTTCGAATTGCATTATATGAGTTTCTTTTTCCTTTTTTCTTTACCCGTTACTGTCTAAAAAGCAGTCGAAACGGTTTTTATCCACCATTTGATGGTGAGCATTTCCCTTCTTCTTCTTCTTCTTCTTCTTCTTCTTCTTCTTCTTCTTCTTCTTACACACAGAATTTGCCTTCCATTCTTAAAGAAATGGGCAGGCTTGCCCAGACCCGCAGCACCAGCAATACTCTTCATCGGCGCTCGGGAGCGCTTCGGCCTACGTTTAACGTACATCCCTACGCTATGGAAGCAACGACAGGTCATTAGATGGAATATCATCAAGAACAGCAGCGACAAGAACATGGCAAACCTGTACCAACATCACAGCAAACAACAGTATCTGCTCACAAGACAATACTCCGCAATAAAAGAAATGGAATGTGCCGAGGCAGCGATCTCTGAAGCTAGTCCAACTAACCTCCAGCAAGGCAGGGCAGGACTCGGCTTTAGGCATGACAAACAAGAGAAAATCAAACCTAGAAAACAAATACTCAATACCATTCATGAAGGTGACTGCCAAGACCAGCTATCCCACCTCAAAAGCTTGCAAATGCAAGGCAGCTGGTTAAAGTGGAGAGACACGATGTTTGAAGACCTCACTTGGAAAAAACTGTTGTACGAAGGCTACGGGAGAACTTTCTCCTTTCAACTAAACTGTGTATTAAACACACTACCAACAGTTGACAATCTGAGGAGGTGGGGTAACTCTGTGGTCGAACAACAATGCCCTCTATGCAACAGGCAAGCTACGCTCCGTCACATATTATCAGCATGTCCAACAGCCCTCCACCAGGGCAGATATACCTGGCGCCACGACAACGTACTGAAATGCATAGTAAAACTAGTAAACGAAACCATCCAAACTTATCAAAAGGCCACGGCATCAGCAGAAACGCAGAGTAATCAGAAGAGAATTGATTACATAACTTTCTGCAAGGCAGGAGAGAATCTCCCCAAACAGCCCCCCTCCCAACGCAAACGGCTAAATGACCAATTCGTAACTAGCTCAGCAGACTGGAAGGTCCTGGTGGACATGAAGGATGAGAAACTTGTTTTCCCCCACTTCATAGCACCTACAACCTGTCGTCCAGACATAGTGCTCTTCTCCAAAGAATTGAGAAGAGTTCTGTGGCTGGAACTCACGGTATGTAGTGAAGATCGCTTTGCACAATCGCGCGAAATCAAAATCGAACGCTATCGTCACCTTCATAACGCGTGTGTAAGGAATGGCTGGGAGACGGAAAGTCACACAGCAGAGGTGGGAGCGAGAGGCGCCATATCCACCAGCTTGGATTCCTTCGCGAGATCCTTGCGCTGCACTAAGGAACAGCGCAGGCTCTTGCGGAGGAATTGTCGCCAAGCAGCGCTGAACTCAAGCTATGTCCTATGGCTAAGGCGAAGGGAGCGAACATGGCGCGACTGGCCGTTGTATTAAAACTGTTTGGTGAACCTGTTGTAGAGCACTTGGTGGGCGATCGGCCACCCAGCGAGGATAGTTGGACGTCCTTAAAATCAAGATTTGAACTCGCCATTCCGGCCTCTAAAGGGCCGGGGGTGGACGATCGCCAACCTTGCCAACCTCTCGTAGTCACTTGTTCTTGTCGAATCGTTATTTTCATAGCCTACTCGACATTCGCCCTACAAATTACCATACATCACAACGCAACTACCTGTACATGACACACCATACCATACGGACACAACCACACCCCAACTGTACTGGGGGCCTATCTCTTCGAATTGCATTATATGAGTTTCTTTTTCCTTTTTTCTTTACCCGTTACTGTCTAAAAAGCAGTCGAAACGGTTTTTATCCACCATTTGATGGTGAGCATTTCCCTTCTTCTTCTTCTAAGGAACACTAAGGAACAGCGCAGGCTCTTGCGGAGGAATTGTCGCCAAGCAGCGCTGAACTCAAGCTATGTCCTATGGCTAAGGCGAAGGGAGCGAACATGGCGCGACTGGCCGTTGTATTAAAACTGTTTGGTGAACCTGTTGTAGAGCACTTGGTGGGCGATCGGCCACCCAGCGAGGATAGTTGGACGTCCTTAAAATCAAGATTTGAACTCGCCATTCCGGCCTCTAAAGGGCCGGGGGTGGACGATCGCCAACCTTGCCAACCTCTCGTAGTCACTTGTTCTTGTCGAATCGTTATTTTCATAGCCTACTCGACATTCGCCCTACAAATTACCATACATCACAACACCATACCATACGGACACAACCACACCCCAACTGTACTGGGGGCCTATCTCTTCGAATTGCATTATATGAGTTTCTTTTTCCTTTTTTCTTTACCCGTTACTGTCTAAAAAGCAGTCGAAACGGTTTTTATCCACCATTTGATGGTGAGCATTTCCCTTCTTCTTCTTCTTCTTCTTCTTCTTCTTCTTCTTCTTCTTCTTCTTCTTCTTCTTCTTCTTCTTCTTCTTCTTCTTCTTCTTCTTCTTCTTCTTCTTCTTCTTGGTCTTTCAATTGCTACATGACTCGCTAGAGACTGCTTTCCCTTAGCTTCGACTTTGCTCCTTTTATTGGTACATTATCACAAAGTATTTTTTTCACTCCTCAGTAGTGCAGCACCGTGGGCGCCGCGTGCTCAGGCAAAGTGGCACGGAACCAGAATGCTGGATTTCCCCTTATCACAAAGTATTTTTTTTCACTCCTCAGTAGTGCAGCACCGTGGGCGCCGCGTGCTCAGGCAAAGTGGCACGGAACCAGAATGCTGGATTTCCCCGCGCGTGCCCTTCGCTCCATGCACAGTACCTGACCCATGTGTAGAGTCTAGATAGATTGTCTGAGTTGTGTTGAATTGTCATTCAATTTCTTTTTATTCTCAAAAACAAATATCTCTACATTCTATCTCTGTGACTTAGAACCTCGCTTTAGGTCCGTATTTGACTATTTGAGCTTAGACACTGCTGGAAAAGCAGTGCACTAGTCTGACGTCATCATGTCGAATAGCGGAACTTTTTTTTTAAATTCTTTTCCGGTTGAACCGGTATGCTCATAGAATTATCAGCTTCTGCGCGGCTTCATTTCTGCCTATCCTTGGTAAAAAGTACAAAAGAAAAACAAGAAAACAGTGGAAAGAAAGGAACAGGGAGGAAAACAAAGCTCAGCCAACTAAGTGAGCCGGAAATTACATTGTTGTGTGTATACTGTACAGCATGGTGATTAGTGACCCGGTTGAGAGGGTGTGTGCACAGCATGGTGATTAGTGACCCGGTTGAGAGGGTGTGTGTACAGCATGGTGATTAGTGACCTGGTTGAGAGGGTGTGTGCACAGCATGGTGATTAGTGACCCGGTTGAGAGGGTGTGTGTGTACAGCATGGTGATTAGTGACCCGGTTGAGAGGGTGTGTGTACAGCATGGTGATATTAGCAGGGAGCCCTACGCATACGCGAATGACTGTTGGGACATTCTTCCAAAACATGACGTCACAGAATTCGTAAAAAAAGACAACTTTTGTCGCAAGCGGGTAGCCTGTCGCAAGCGCGAGACTCAGCAACTATTACCAGGTGTACGAGATGGATGGACGAACAGTTTTCATAGGGTGAGTACTTCTTTTTCATGTACTGATGATGTAGCACTGAATGCGGCAAGTAGGACTCGCCCATCCGCCCCTCACCACCTGAACTGAAAACCTGAAGCGTCGAGGAGGTACTAGGCCGTCTAGGGGCGCTCTGGCGGGATTTTATGGTATATATTTTTAATTAATTTTACTATTTTCATGGTAATGGTCCTTGCAGTGCAGCGATAGGTCCTCTTCAGTACTCTAGCAGTCCCATCAACCGATCCATATTACTAGCTGCCCGCTACATCATCTCGGATTCTAGCAGTAGTATAGTACCTCCGAATCCCAGGCACTCGGACTCGGAGCCAGCCAACCAGGACGTATCGTAAAGGAGCGGGCGTATTTCCTCGAAAGGTAGGCCACTGCGATCGAGCACAGTCCAGTGCATTACGGTCTTACTAACGGCTGTAGTGATACTATTTACAGGGGCGTAGGAAGGTCTTCTAGTTCTAAAGGCGGGGGAGGGGGGTTCTGGGGCCATCAATTAGTTCACTGAATATGCTCCTTTACAGGTAAGCAGAGCCTCATGGTTGGCCTCAAGTCAATTTATGCGGTGGGGTGGGGGTGGGGACACGTTAGTTGCATTCATGTTACCCTTACTTGGAGTTACCCTTACTTGCCCCTTAGTTGGGCAGTGTAGTGCGATATGGGTAGAGCAGTGTAGTGCGATAGGGGTAGGGCAGTGTAGTGCGATAGAGGTAAGGCAGTGTAGTGCGATAGGGGTGGGGCAGTGTAGTGCGATAGGGGTAGGGGTAGGGCAGTGTAGTGCGATAGGGGTGGGGCAGTGTAGTGCGATAGGGGTGGGGCAGTGTAGTGCGATAGGGGTAGGGCAGTGTAGTGCGATAGGGGTAGGGCAATGTAGTGCGATAAGGGTGGGGCAGTGTAGTGCGATAGGGGTGGGGCAGTGTAGTGCGATAGGGGTAGGGCAGTGTAGTGCGATAGGGGTAAGGCAGTGTACAGTAAGATCGGGCGCCGAAGAACACCTCGCCGAAGAACACCCAGGCTGGAAAACCGGCAAAATTTAAGAACAGTCCAGGCTAGAATTATCAGATTTAAGAACACTTTTAAAAATTTGCACGTAGATCTACATTGTACATGTATGGGAGGTGAGTACATGTCATGTACACGTGTAAACAGTAACTGCTACATGTACAGTCATTCCCATTTACGACACCCACTAGTTTAGTAGTACTACATTGCACTACATGTACATGTACATGACAAACGTCATGACGTCACTCGACTCGCCGCGCGCGTGTGAATAAGAACGGTCTGGCTAGAATCAAAAATTTAAGAACTTTCCTAGGCTGCGCTCGAGCCCCTGCGTTCTTCGGCGCCCGATCTTACTGTAGTGCGATAGGGGTAGGGCAGTGTAGTGCGATAGGGGTAGGGCAGTGTAGTGCGATAGGGGTAGGGCAGTGTAGTGCGATAGGGGTAGGGCAGTGTAGTGCGATAGGGGTAGGGCAGTGTAGTGCGATAGGGGTAGGGCAGTGTAGTGCGATAGGGGTAGGGCAGTGTAGTGCGATAGGGGTGGGGCAGTGTAGTGCGATAGGGGTAAGGCAGTGTAGTGCGATAGGGGTAAGGCAGTGTAGTGCGATAGGGGTAGGGCAGTGTAGTGCGATAGGGGTAGGGCAGTGTAGTGCGATAGGGGTAGGGCAGTGTAGTGCGATAGGGGTAGGGCAGTGTAGTGCGATAGGGGTTGGGCAGTGTAGTGCGATAGGGGTGGGGCAGTGTAGTGCGATAGGGGTAGGGCAGTGTAGTGCGATAGGGGTAGGGCAGTGTAGTGCGATAGGGGTAGGGCAGTGTAGTGCGATAGGGGTAGGGCAGTGTAGTGCGATAGGGGTAGGGCAGTGTAGTGCGATAGGGGTAGGGCAGTGTAGTGCGATAGGGGTAGGGCAGTGTAGTGCGATAGGGGTAGGGCAGTGTAGTGCGATAGGGGTAGGGCAGTGTAGTGCGATAGGGGTAGGGCAGTGTAGTGCGATAGGGGTAGGGCAGTGTAGTGCGATAGGGGTAGGGCAGTGTAGTGCGATAGGGGTAGGGCAGTGTAGTGCGATAGGGGTAGGGCAGTGTAGTGCGATAGGGGTAGGGCAGTGTAGTGCGATAGGGGTAGGGCAGTGTAGTGCGATAGGGGTAGGGCAGTGCAGTGCGATAGGGGTAGGGCAGTGGAGTGCGATAGGGGTAGGGCAGTGCAGTGCGATAGGGGTAAGGCAGTGCAGTGCAATAGGGGTAGGGCAGTGCAGTGCGATAGGGGTAGGGCAGTGTAGTGCGATAGGGGTAGGGCAGTGTAGTGCGATAGGGGTAGGGCAGTGTAGTGCGATAGGGGTAGGGCAGTGCAGTGCGATAGGGGTAGGGCAGTGTAGTACGATAGGGGTTGGGCAGTGTAGTGCGATAGGGTTAGGGCAGTGTAGTGCGATAGGGGTAGGGCAGTGTAGTGCGATAGGGGTAAGGCAGTGTAGTGCGATAGGGGTTGAGCAGTGTAGTGCGATAGGGGTGGGGCAGTGTAGTGCGATAGGGGTAGGGCAGTGTAGTGCGATAGGGGTTGAGCAGTGTAGTGCGATAGGGGTAGGGCAGTGTAGTGCGATAGGGGTAGGGCAGTGTAGTGCGATAGGGGTAGGGCAGTGTAGTGCGATATGGGTAGGGCAGTGTAGTGCGATAGGGGTAGGGCAGTGTAGTGCGATAGGGGTAGGGCAGTGTAGTGCGATAGGGGTAGGGCAGTGTAGTGCGATAGGGGTAGGGCAGTGTAGTGCGATAGGGGTAGGGCAGTGTAGTGCGATAGGGGTAGGGCAGTGTAGTGCGATAGGGGTAGGGCAGTGTAGTGCGATAGGGGTAGGGCAGTGCAGTGCGATAGGGGTAGGGCAGTGGAGTGCGATAGGGGTAGGGCAGTGCAGTGCGATAGGGGTAAGGCAGTGCAGTGCAATAGGGGTAGGGCAGTGCAGTGCGATAGGGGTAGGGCAGTGTAGTGCGATAGGGGTAGGGCAGTGTAGTGCGATAGGGGTAGGGCAGTGTAGTGCGATAGGGGTAGGGCAGTGCAGTGCGATATGGGTAGGGCAGTGTAGTACGATAGGGGTTGGGCAGTGTAGTGCGATAGGGGTAGGGCAGTGTAGTGCGATAGGGTTAGGGCAGTGTAGTGCGATAGGGGTAGGGCAGTGTAGTGCGATAGGGGTAAGGCAGTGTAGTGCGATAGGGGTTGAGCAGTGTAGTGCGATAGGGGTGGGGCAGTGTAGTGCGATAGGGGTAGGGCAGTGTAGTGCGATAGGGGTAGGGCAGTGTAGTGCGATAGGGGTAGGGCATTGTAGTGCGATAGGGGTAGGGCAGTGTAGTGCGATAGGGGTAAGGCAGTGTAGTGCGATAGGGGTAAGGCAGTGTAGTGCGATAGGGGTGGGGCAGTGTAGTGCGATAGGGGTAGGGCAATGTAGTGCAATAGGGGTAGGGCAGTGTAGTGCGATAGGGGTAGGGCAGTGTAGTGCGAGTGGATTTTCCCCAATTTCTTTTCCATTCATCTCGCCATGGGCGGGCAGTCAGCCGAAACGCTGAAGCTGCTCTGCAGTCTCCCCGGCATTGAGCAGACCATCCTAACCCAGTTGCAGGCAATCACGGCACACGTCAGTGAGTCAAGAAACCGAGAAGCGTGCCTAAATCGGCGTATTAACGAGCTCGCAGCCCAAGTAAGAGTATTACCAAAGAAATCTGAGCTCATTGATGGAGCCAGGGACACTATGATTGGCGACAACCCAAACGTATCATGTGACCTTTCTGACAATGCGGATCACTGAGGGTGTGTTATTTAATTGCCTAGAAATCTGTACTGGAAGACCAGTAAGGTTAAAGGGGAAGTCCGGTGAAAAATTTAAATTTCAGGGTCGGTAGAGTTTTGGGCGCTGAGTCGAATGGTGTTGGTCCCACGTGTCTCCGACAAAGCCTTCTCGAGATATTTCCCTTTTTTGTTTTTTTTGTTTGAAAAACTGAGTTTCGGGGGCTGCGCCATGACGTCATGCGGCCGCGCCACACTCTCCGCAACGTCATAGCGTGCAGCAAGGTCAAAAGGAGTGCGTGAAAGCAATAGTGTCAGTGTTATTTCAAATGATTTGGCGACTGATATTAGGTGGTTCAAGCGACCCCGAAGACCTAACTCATTGTGAGAGTGAGGATGCAACCATGGCTGACCTTCATGAGTTTGGTCTGGGGCTGAGAACCTCGGTATTCAGCTGAAGAAATGGCCGCGCGGGCCGGTCAAGGGTTTCTACTGAGTTTCCGACTGATGAAGAAGCAGCAGACGAGGCTGATATAATTATAAGATCGCTGGAGAGCAGGGTCGCCAAAATGGAGAAGAGTGATGCGAGTACTCTAATTGTTGTTCCATACCGATTCGCTTAGACTCCAGTAGCCTGGCACATGGTGATGTTTTGGTGCGAACTTGGCATATTTCGGACTACCCAGTGCAGGCTCTTTGAACCACGGGCACGACTTCGCTCGCAACGCTATGGAATCTGAAAGTTCTAGGTCCGGGAGCTGTTCGCTGTTTTGTCACTTGTCACGGTTGTGCACTCACTCGTTGCTGTAGCATAAAATATTGAGGCGGGACTGGAGCGGAAAACTAACATTTTCTTTCTCCAAGCACAACCACCGGCACCGGCAAGGAGAAACGCACGTTCGCTGACTACATGACTGTACAATACGACTGATACGAGTGTAGTACATGACAAGTCCGTGTGTTGTCTGTTGACTAGTTTTCTGAGTATTGTGTCTCGAGTCTTGTAGCTAGCAGCACGGCAGTGCGAGAGTAGTTCCGTGTGATGAGTTTGTTGACTGCACTACAGCTAGCACGCAGCGCCGTAGAGGCCATTGCATGCTGACAGAAAAAGTCTAACTCGGAAACGGCTAAAATACGGTATAACCTTGGGGTTTACCGAGCTGAAAATTACAGGGTACGTAGTGTTTGTAACACTGAATCGAATGGTCTTGGTCCGAAGAAGCTGGGAAAAACGGTTCCCAATCGAACGCGCTCCGAATATGGCCATTTTGTACACAACTAGATGGTGTGGCTACCTAGCTGCACGCTGTGACGTCATCACCTGGATCTGGGTGGTGTGCGCTCAAATTCGCACATGTTCGATTGGGCGTATCTGACGAACCATAGGCCGCAGCCTCCTCGGACAAAGACCATTTGACTCAGCGACCCGAACTCTACGGACTGTGAAATTTAAATTTTTCACCGGACTTCCCCTTTAAGTTGTTAACGAACATTTAATTGTAACGAGTTAACGAATTTGAAAAAGCGTTACTAGTAGGGATGAAACGATTACACCGATTACTCGGTACTTACTCCTTATCTCTATGATCGCTACTCCTTATGCTGTTATCGAGTATGCAGTACTTGTACTTGTGCATGTATGTATGCATAATACTAGCTAAGTCACACTGTCTGCACTGCACTGTTAACCCCAGCACTGCGAGTTACCCAAGGTGACAAAATTCACACCTTTTTCTAGTCACCATCGCACCTTTGGGATCCAGTGTGTACCCCCCCCCCCCCCCCCCCCCCAGGAAAACCAACTGGCTGTGCAGGATTTGATAGTCACTGGGAGTCGATTGAGGCGCCTGTTTGTAGGCATCAGCATTCGTGACATACATGTACATGACGTATGCTAGTAGTGGTGCTGTGTTTTTACTGTATGCGCAAGTCCTTCATGCACTATTGTCATGTTCCGGAGACCAGTATCATTTTGATACGTCATACATATCCAGCAGGGATGAATTTACTGTCATATTTTTGCATAGCAGTTTCTGCTATACGGAATCACAATTGTGTAGCAGTCTTTGACTTTGATTAGCATTTTTTTCTTTGGAGGTAGGGTATTTACCACATTGTCCTTCTTGAGAGTGATGCCTGAAAGCCCATTTGCAAAAAACCCGACTGAAGCATACATGTGCACGCAGATTGAGAGTGCCTGCACCACATACACTGCATTGTATGCATATCACTTGATAGCACAGGCTAGGCATGGATAGTCTGTATGTATCGCAGTTTTCTGCGAGTCATGGTGACTTTTGAGTAGCAGTAGATCGATTTTGCATCGCAAACTGCGATGCGATACAGGATAAATTCATCCCTGTCCAGCATACTCGTTTTATGATAACTCGATCGTTTATAATAAACGGTACTCAATAAGAAGAAATGGATGATCGTTTCATCCCTAGACTATTTGATATACTCGTTTCACCCCTAATTAATTGTACTGTCTATTATGTTCTTTTTTGGCCCAGACGAGACCACACGAGACCAAACGAAGCTTGCTAACACCAGCACGAACAGTACACTACTTGCTATCATGGAGTGTGGCTGGTGCACTGTTCATGCTCATGTTTTCTAGCAGTGTACGGTCTCGTCTGCTCCGAAGGAGAACGTAATTATTATGCTAGCAATTCTTTTTTTATAAATATAATAGGATTGAGAGAACTTCAAAATTCAAAAGATCTGACGGGGAAGTGAATTTTTCTGAAAAGAGAAAGAAAAACAATGGAGAGAGAAAGAAAGAAAAATGCCCCCCCCCCCCACGACTTTCAGCCGGTACCTTGCTAGTCATGAGCCATGCTCTAACTGGGGACGGGGAAAAGACCCAACTGCAATCAGTGCAATGTCATATACATGTATGTGTGGCACGTGTTGTGAGCTGCCTTTGGAGTGAAGTGCTTGTCAGCCCCTTCTAGGTTCAGGCTGGTCCCGTAGCTCAGTTTGTTAGAGCATTGCTCATGAAAAGCAAGGTCCCGAGTCCTGGTGGGTTAGCATTTTTTCTCTTTTCAGGCAGTTGACTTCCGGCTGAACTTTCGAAACATTTATTGTTTTGCCTTTCCTGGAATGTTCAGGGTATTTCGCACACAATATAGAATGGGGTTGATGGTATGCCTGAATCCCCTCCCCTTATGTGAGGCAAAGGCCTGTGGAGAATCCATGAATACAAAATACAAAATGCCTCGAAACGCTTGACACGGATTTTGGTCACACACTTTGCTTACATGTTTTTGTATATGCTTGTGTTCGTTCATGCATGTGTTTGTGTATGTGTGCGTCTGAGCGTTCTTGTATATGCCGGTATGCATGTGTATGTTCATGCGTGTGTGTGCATAATCGTTGTTGTTGTTGTTGATGATGACTTTCAGCAAAACGAGGTGCGGGTCTGTCCAAAACGCCATGCATGAAGCTACAAATATGACACTAAGCAGCGGTTTGACCAGAGTACGCCGTATCCGCATCAGCCTCTGTGGTCAGTTTGGAACCGGCAAGACGAGCCTGGCGGATTCGCTCAAGAACAAACAGTTCGTGGACAAGAGGGCAAGTACACCGGCACTTGCTGTTGATCATGACAATGTGCTCCACGGATCAGGAAACCTGACGGATTGGAAGTTCCATGCTGCATTCCTCTATACTCCGGACATCCTTGTCCAGGCTAAAGATCTTGAGAAAAAACACCAGCAACGGGAACAAGAAGCGGCAATCCCGAAAATCCCGAAGCGATCTGGGTCTACAGGCCTCCAGCGTACGGGAACAGCGACGCAAGAGGCAGCATCACCAGCTGCAAAGCAAACGTTAAAACTTGGCAAAGGTCCAGAAGCAGCACCCAGCTCAGCTGAATTGACACAGAGCCTCATCAATGTCATCTTGGAGAACCAAGAGCTGATGCGAGACATTGGAGAAGAAGAAGTCGTGGTGTCCATTTGGGATTGCGGCGGCCAATCAATCTTCTCAGGCCTGCAGCATTTCCTAATGGGTAAAGATTACGTCATCTATATTCTCTGTTTCAACGCCTCAGAAAACTTCCAGCTCACCAAACAGCAGAACTACTGGAAGTGGAGTACACTGTCTGAAATGACTCTGGACGTACCGGAGGAGCTGGAGAACATCGACCACATTCGGCACTGGCTAACAGCCATCCACTTTGCCAGCAACCCAGGCAAGGCTGTGGAAAGCGAGGCGTTTGACTACCCGCCTGTGATATTGGTGGGGACCTTTGCCGACAAGCTGTCGACAGATAGGACACTTTCAGAGCACAAGGTTGATATCTTCAAGAAGCTGGGAAAGCTCTACCGCCGGTCACCAACTTTCCAGGGTATGCTTGAGAGCGATGACATTGATCCCGCAGGGTTGTTCCTTGTGGACAACCACGAGTCCGGAGCTTCTCAAGAAGTTCAACGAATCCGAAAGAAGCTACAGGATGCTGTTTCATCGGTGCTGGCAAACAAGAAGATTCCGACGGAATGGGTTCGCTTTGAGATGATACTGGAGTATCTCAAGAAACAACCCGCCCAGGATGGCTACACAACACGAGGATGGATGCAGACACTGGTGGAGAAGGCCTGCAAGATCCAGGATGACTCCGGCATGGACGGTGCTCCATCCGAATTTGAGCGTCTTCTTCGGTTCTACAACGACCTACGTGTCATCATCTATCGGCCGGCAAACAAGAACTCGCCGCAGCCTGATGACATCATCTTCCACAACACACAATGGCTCATCAGGCAGATCAACGTCCTCGTCTTTGGCCATATGTACCTGGTCGAACCTGGCGGAGGTGATGGCAGGACGGCAAAGGAAGCAGGGGCAGCAGAAACGGAGTGGCGCGACTATCTGTGGAAAGAGGGTATAGCACGCCGGCAACTAATGGAGTGTGCCTGGAAAGCAGTCAAAAGAGAGGTTCGTAACAAGATGCTGGATGTGATGGTCGACTGGGATTTTCTGTACAAATTCGGAGATGCCTCGCATGCAAAGTACTTCATCCCATCAGCTCTTCAACGTCGACCGCCGAAGAAAATCGAGGAGGCCCTGCGCAGCTTCCAGCAGGACAATGAGCCAAACGACGTCAGCTTCTCCACAGCTGACACACCGTTACTGATCATGGTTCAGCCACCAGGCAAGGCTCATGAAGACTTCCTAGGCTACAAGTATCCCGTTGCGGACACACCGATGCCACACAGCTCCTACTTCAAGCTACTTGTACGGCTCATGAGAAAGTGGGAGGTTACAAATACCGACCGGAGTCACTGTGAGCTCACTTACAACACAGCCAGGTTTCGGCTGTGGCTGCCGGAGCAGCTCCGTGACCAGTTCCCAGGCAAGGTGGAAATCTTTTTGGCTCACTACGACTCGTCAGGTGCGTCAGAGTCCCGGCCTTGCTACCTGCTGCATCAGGCATGGGTATGCCACCAGCTAGCAGGGGTATGTGATCTATTGGCGGCAGTTTGACCGCGATCTCGTCTGTCTCTGTCTGTTGACAGATGCAGTACTATTATTATTATTCCCTTAAATGATGACGTAGGTTATTCCTGCGTGGAACACACGCTTCCTACCGAACTTGACACTAAGTTCCCTCAAATGATGACGTAGGTTATTCCTGCGTGGAACACACGCTTCCTGCCGAACTTGACACTAAGTTCCCTCAAATGATGACGTAGGTTATTCCTGCGTGGAATACACGCTTCCTACCGAACTTGACACTAAGTTCCCTCAAATGATGAATATTTTTAAACAATCGTGACTTGATAGTTTTAATTGCACTACAGCAATGCCATGGTGGCAGCAATTCAAGAATAATTTCTTCTTGATGACATTGATGTTGTTTCCCAGTGCAAACATACAGCAATTTTGGCATTATAATTCAACCCTTTTATGAATTATCCCCAGACTTTTTCCGTGTTAAATACCCTTGACAAATGAATATTTTTTTATCAATACTTTTGAATTCCTTGACCCTGTCGTGCATTTCAATATCAAGAATTCACGTGACATACCACACTGTTTGTGAACGAAAGATCAGTGGAAACACAATCTATACGAGACGGCACTGCGCAGAGCGTCAGAAGCCATTCAACATTGGTGCGGCCATGAATGCTTCCTTATTGACCATGGGCCATCGTGGAAATAAAGAATAGGTTCAGGGTCCGGGGATCCTCCCCTGGGAGAATATTAGGGAAATTGGTCTGAATAGCCCATTATTATTATCATTTCATTGCTTCACAAGGCACGAGATGAAATTGTTGGTGTGGCTTTGGCCGCACCTGCCGCACCGGTTCCGACGCCGCTGGTGCAGGTAACGTGGCATTAGTTGTGAAACCGTTTCATAATTAAAAAGATAAATTCAAAACCGGTTCAAGCTACCGTACGAGGAAGGCGAACACATGTTCAGATTAAACTCGGATGGAGAAGCAAGGATTGAAACTAAAACGAAAGGACCAAAGGTTTACAACTGTGAAGATTTCTCATAAATCTTTGGTCCATTCTTTCCAAGTTTGATATTGTTCAGTTTTGCTTTGTTCTTCTCTAGCGGGTATACCAGCCATAGCTGCATACTGGTAAGCTAGTGTTAGGGTGAGGGTATGGCCAGTATGAAGCACTATGTGTTACAAGAACCAGGATACTGCACTGGTGGGGGCGAGAGAGAGGGGGGGGAGGGGGTAAAGACGAAAAGCGACGAGAGAGCAAACTCAGCAACCTTCGCTATGCTCGTTTATCATGCATGCTTTTATTTGCTGAGCTAGCTAGTCAAGCTGGTGCTATGTCGCGTGTCATGGTTAGACGCGTGCGGCAGGCCTGGCGCGCTGCCTGCGCCAGCCTTTGTGCCCTGTCGCGTGTGATGACGGACGTACGAAGTACGACACACACACACAGACATTATGAAATGGAGCCCTGTGCACCCTGGCTAGGGCCAGATGCTACTAAGGTAACGTATTTTGCATAGCTATGGGAATAAAAGAAATTCAATACTGACTATACTAACGACAGGAGTCAGTGATGAGAACACATCTAACGTTACGTCCTAAAGTCTACTAGGAACTTTCCGAAGAAGTGGGTAGGAAGAAGTGGGTAGGAAGAAGTGGGTAGGAAGAACAGGAAAACAGCACTTTGCGGCAAGAGGACAAGAAAAATACCCAAAAGGCCTATAATTATGGTGAAATATAATCATTTTCATGGTAGACCATCTACTGTCTCTCTCACATACTTCAAAGAAGTACGCAAATACACACGTGCGGGCGCACGCACACACACACACACACGCGCGCACACACACACGCGCACACACACACACACACACACACACACACACATACACACACACACACACACACACACACACACACACACACACATACACACACACACATACACACACACACACACACATACATATATTATAATAGATAGATATGCAGTAACAGTTGTGCAGTCTCTAGTGGGTGTGCTGTCTAAAGAAGCACTGCCGCATACGTGGCAGCCGAAACAAGTAGAGAAGTGTGATGACAATTGTGTCGGTCCCAGTCTTGAATAACAGTAGCAATTCCTTCCTTTGTTGCGTAATAGCCTGGGATCCACCCAATATCTTTCCCACAATCACTCAATTCAATATAGTAAGCAATACTGAGTGGCGGGTCTACCACATACCCCCGCTAGCTGGTGGCATACCCCCGCTAGCTGGTGGCATACCCCCGCTAGCTGGTGGCATACCCCCGCTAGTAGGTGGCATACCCCCGCTAGCTGGCGGCATACCCCCGCTAGCTGGTGGCATACCCCCGCTAGCTGGTGGCATACCCCCGCTAGCTGGTGGCATACCCCCGCTAGCTGGTGGCATACCCCCGCTAGCTGGTGGCATACCCCCGCTAGCTGGTGGCATACCCCCGCTAGCTGGTGGCATACCCCCGCTAGCTGGTGGCATACCCATGCCTGATAGAGCAGGCAGCATGGCCGTCGAGATGCTGGCAGCAGCAGGTTGTATGGCCGGGACGCTGGCAGGAGAAGAAACCGCAGGAGCAATCCAGCTCCAGTCGCTCGAGTCGATAGCTGGCAAAGCACCGATTTGATTGCTAACATCTATGCCCTTCCCTTGATGATAAAGAAGTGCTTGAGCAGCAGGAAGCACCACAATGGACGCGGGTACTGCTGGCATCTTTCCCTTGCCATAAGAGGTGACATGATGGAAACCTTCAATGTCCTGCAGGTGCACATACACAAGAACACATGCACGCACACACGTGAACACACGCACAAAAAGTTAAACAGATAAGCACACATGCACATACACAATGCAATGCAATATGCCCATCCGGAGATGATAGCAGGTCCCGATGGGACCAACAGTGTTCAAGTCACGAGCAAAAGAGGGCGTGGCGAGTCAAGTCCTGGCGACGGCGATAGCGCTTCCAACAGTGCAAACGAAGCACACACACGCACGCACGCACGCACGCACACACACACACACCCGCGCGCGTTTCAGAGGTGACACAGGCTGTGTAAATTTCACTATTCTTATCGTAACTTTGCGTTGTATTTTCATCTTCTTGTTTCCCTGCTTCCGTAGCACATGTGCTCGGGATGCACCAGTGCCAACATCATCGTGGTCGATTAACAAACAAAAAAAGAAAAAGCACATTACTATCTCTGTTGTCCAGGCGGTCAGGGACCAGGCACAGTCCACCACTTGTGAATGTCCAGAACTCTACATCATATACTTGTACATGTACGTATTGATGTGGAAGTGCCAGAGATCTGGCATGTCACATCACTATTTCCACAAAAAATGGGAGAGGAGTAGTAATATGGCAAAAGAGTAGTTATATGGCAAGAGAGTAGTAATATGGCAAAAAAGTAGTAATAATTATGGCAAAAAAAGTAGTAATATGGCAAAAAAGTAGTAATATGGCAAAAAGTAGTAATATGGCAAAAAGTAGTAATATGGCAAAAAAGTAGTAATATGACAAGAGAGTAGTAATATGACAAGAGAGTAGTATTTATTTATTTATTATTCAACATCTCCTGGCCCGTCCGAAGACTGCCAATAAACATGAGAGGTCAGGTGATAGCCAACCACGGCAAGCTAAAAGGGAGAAAAAGAAAGATGCTGTCAGAGAGGGAAAGGAGATAGGGAGAGAAAAAGAAAGGGAGGCACATTAGTAATACATGGGATCACTTCGGATGAGACAGTGTGGAAAGCTGGACTTTGAATTTCCTGATATCCTGGCATGTCTTAATGCTAGTAGGCAGGTTAGACCAAAGGGAGTATGCTGAGAAGAAAGGGGATTTCAAAAACAGAGAGGAACTAGCTCGGGGCAGTGATAAGGCATTGCGTGTTGGTCTAGTGGTAACAAACCAGTTGTACTTGGCAATATGTTTCGGGACTAGTAATATGACAAGAGAGTAGTAATATGACAAGAGAGTAGTAATATGACAAGAGAGTAGTAATTATTTTCACTAAAATACACCTACAGGGTGCCCGGCAGACCGAGGTGTCCATAACCTCGAGGTCCGGATAGCAGAGATGTGTGTGTGTGTGTATGTGTGTGTGTGTGTGTGTGTGCCAGCTAGTTCGGTTGGTGGGTACACTTAGGCCTGATTGTGTTGGGTCTGTTGCCAACAGGCTCGGCTGCTTGAAGGTGTATTGTTGTATCTGCCACCTTTGTTGGTTTCAGAGTTCTTATACTTTCTATTTGAAGTATACATACCTGTTAACCATGGACTGCTTCTGGCTAGATTAACTCTTGTGTAATCAATGGTGCTAGTGACGCTTAGATCAGATCCACTCTGATTTAGCCACCCACACTAGTAGCAAGTATTACCTTCACTGGGGGCAGGGGTAACTGCAGTTGGATCCCAGGACGGATACCCTGATGCCGTCGATCCTTTTTCTGCACCTTGTCCTCACCCACTTACTGAGGTGTGGTGAGCCCATAAGTGGGATCATTTTCAAGTCCACCCAGAGTTTTGGGGACTTCAGGGGGTGTCAGCCATTGGGCGGTTCAATAGCCAGTTGAGTGATCTTTCCAAGATTCCTTTTGAGTCTCTCTCCCCTCTCCCGGGGAGACCCACGTGACCAGTTTTGGCAGTGAGCAACAAGTACAAGTACAAGTGTGTGTGTGTGTGTGTATGTGTGTGTGTATGTGTGTGTATGTGTGTGTGTGTGTGTGTGTGTGTGTGTGTGCCAGCTAGTTCGGTTGGTGGGTACACTTATGCCTGATTGTGTTGGGTCTGTTGCCAATGGGCTCGGCTACTTGAAGGTGTTATGTTGTACCTGCCACCTTTGTTGGTTCCAGGGTTCATATACTTTCTATTAGAAGTATACATACCTGTTAACCATGGACTGCTTCTGGCTAGATTAACTCTTGTGTAATCAATGGTGCTACAGTCCATTCATTGGAAACTGGCACCCTAACTTTTTGGTGTCTTTCTCACATAGTTGTAGATATCGTGAAAACAACAGTACATCCTGCATTGTGTGACCCGTGCAATTACTCCTTGCCACATTTGAGGGCAGAAAAGTCCAAGAACAGGGAAATAGAAATTCAGCCAGGTTTTACAAAATTAGGACAGGTATGCCATGGCAAAATGTATGGACAAGCAGATCCAAAACCCAGATTTTTGAGATTTAAAGTGGGTTTTTGATCCTCAAATCGGCCCAAATCCGACTTCCAAAAGCCAGCGGGCCAGTTTCCGATGAATGGACTGTGGTCACGCTTATATCAGATCCACTCTGATTTGCCACCCACACTAGTAGCAAGTATTACCTTCACTGGGGGCAGGGGAAACTGCAGTTGGATCCCGGGACGGATACCCTGATGTCGTCAATCCTTTTTTCTGCACCGTGTCCTCACCCACTTACTGAGGTGTGGTGAACCCATAAGTGGGATCATTTTCAAGTCCATCCAGAGTTTTGGGGATTTCAGGGGGTGTCGGCCGTTGGGCGGTTCAATAGCCAATTGAGTCATCTTTCCAAGATTCCTTTTGAGTCTCTCTCCCCTCTCCCGGGCAGACCCACGTGACCAGTTTTGGCAGTGAGCAACAAGTAAGTGTGTGTGTGTGTGTGTGTGTGTGCGTGCGTGCGTGCGTACGTACGTGCGTGCGTGCGTGTGTGTGTGGTAGCATTATTTATATTTTTACTCACCGCTCAGAAGTGCCACACTGTTTCTCCTGACAGAAGTGACTTAGAACACGAACAAGCCCATCTTCGCTCTGCAGAGTGTCGCACATCCGAGCAGCACGCAGGATCACATCCGAATGCCCAGCACCGACATACTGGCAGCACAGCTTCCATAACTCGGCCAGACCCACAGCCGGCTCGATAGTGCCGAACGGCGATGATGCCACGGCAAGTGTATCTCTTCTTTCAGCCAGCATACACAAACACTTGTCCGCACGGTCAACAAGGAACTTCTTCACCTCCTGAAAAATAAAACAAGAAAATGGATGAACAGAAGAATTTTGAATATACATGACGAATGGGACACAATATTTAGCTGGTTTTCAAAGCGAATGGAACACACAATTTAGGTTTTCAAGTTCCAGAATGAACGGAACACACGATTTAGCAGGCTTTCGTGAAGTAACGTAATTCCGGAACAATCTATCAAATTCAAGCAGGTTGATGGAGAGCAATAAACACCACAGACTTACAGTCTTGCCGGCACTGAATCAAATACAGAATTACAGATGATCAAATTGTGGTGACAACTAGCAACGTACCCAATGAACGGCGGTCATTCAAAATAAAATGATTTCCTTAAACATTGCACGACATTGACCGACGGTAGTTAGTTGTAGAACGTCAGTATTTATTAAAACTGGAGTATATCCTGACGAAAGTGTCTGCTCCGAACGTCGGAGCTCGCGCTTCCTGCCGACTGACTTGAGGGGTGAATTCCCCGAAACACTGTGTATTGAGCAGGGAGTTGTGCTTTCTTGCAGGTTTGCCAAGTGAAAGGTTTGACGTGCTTCTCGTGTGCTCCACGCGCAGTCGTGAGTCAGTCAAGTGCCAAGTCTGTCGGCAGGAAGCGCGAGCTCCAGCATTCGGAGCAGACACTTTCTTCATTAATCACCGGCGATGTCGCAACATCATTCGCACTGGAGTATATCCTATTGTAAGAAAGAAAAGAAAAAGGACCAGGGAAATACAAGTTACGCTAACATCACCAGTTACCGAACAATCAGCTCATGCGCTAACATCGGACGACACTGACAGACGGTAATGACCTGATGAGCTGAACTGATTATTTAGTAACTGGTGGTGTTAGTGCACATTATAGCGTGACTTGTAGTTCCTTGGTCCTTTTTTCTTTTTCATAAATATACTCTTGGCTCTCCATCCGAGTCCTTTATATCCGATTAGGGAACAATATATTACAGCTTCTTAAAACCGAATCCATAGGAGATAGCCAGCAGAGATCCTACAAAATTGCCTTTGCATGCCCCAAGTTCAAGAATAAATCTGCATCACTTCGAATAGGCCGAAGAGGGAGAATGTCAAAGTACTGTAAAGCGTGAAATTTTCGCCGCGTTTTTAGTTCGCGTTTTCAGAATCCGGACAGGTTTGCGAGGTTTTAATTTTGCGATTGCAGAATGGCGTTCTTGCTAAACCTGTGGCATTCTTGCTAAACCTTTCATGGATCTCCTTTTCGCGCTGTCTAAATTTCGCGATTTCCACGCGGTCGCGAATTTCGCAGAAATTAGACTATCGCAATAATATCACGGTTTACAGTACTGGGATTCATATCATTGTACTCAGCATCCAGAAGACTACAGCTATCGGAGTTTTTATTTTCACCCTGAAGTACCGTAGACTTCCTCTTTGAAAGACTTGTCAGATACCGACGCAAATTGGGACGCAAAAGGGAACCAAACAAACGGCAAATTGAGTCATCTTTCCAGGATCCCTTCAGAATGTCTCTCCAATCTACGGGGAGACACGTGAGCAGTTTCCGGCCGTGAGCAAGCGCCAGTACAGGTGCAAATTTGTGCGTGTGTGTGTGTGTGTGTTCATGCGTGGGCATTCCCGCTTCTGCCCCGTCTGACACCGCTACCAGCCTGATCGTGGATGGGTGTTCAAGGTTCAGGGTGAGCGTGCACATATAAAATACGAGTGTTTGTGTGTCTGGGCCATCAAAGGCCTACGTCCTGTGCGTCCCTAGCTTGTAGATTGTTTCATTCGTCTTCGGAAATGAGAATACGTTTCTACCGATATGAAAAGACTAACCGGAGGAAGTGACGGGTCTTTGGCCATCTCCGCTTTCTTCTCCCAGAGCGCCACTTGCTTCCTCGCTACAGCATTCTGTTGTCCTTCGAGCTGTGTAAAATCCCATCCGCACGCGCATACCGCACACATCCAAACAGACACAAGCAAAACCGCCAAGGCACAGAAACAAACACTTATAAGATACGATTTTTCTTCAAAGAAAATAGAGCGCTTAAAGAATAGGACTTGAGCTTGCACAAGTTAGCAATGGAACGAGACTAAACACACTATTTTTCTTCAGCTGGTGCATAGAAAGTAGAAACTGGCACCCATCTACATGCACGCATGCACACACGCACACATGTACAGTGAAACCTGTCTAAGGCGACCCCTCAAGGGACGAGAAAAAGTGGTCGGCGTGGCCAGGTGGTCTTCTTATCCAGGTTCAGTGGGTCACGTGACCTTATCCACATGTGATACATCATTTTGATCAGTGCATCACACCTATGCTACTCTAGCACGGCCAGTGTGCCTGGGGTCAGCAGACCTGTCAAATGCCGTACATGCACCATGCATGTACATCTACACGTACTTCCTGCACTGGTGTGTAGATCTACCATGCCTGGTGGCTGGTGCACCATGCAATGTGTACATTTACATGACTAGCACTGTGCAACGCGGTCGCGGGTGGGTGGTCGTCGGACGCGTTGAGCGAGTGGTCGCCTTATCCGAGGTGTTTTGAATTTGAATGCGTCCGTGACAAGGGAAAGTGGTCGCCATGGTCGAGTGGTCGCCATATCCGAGTGGTCGCCATTACAGGTTTTATTGTACGCACAGAAAAGAAGTTGGAATTCCTATCTCAGCAAAGGCTGTGTGCAAGAAATCACTGAAGAGTTTTAGTTACTTGATGAAGTTGTTTGTTCTTGCGTGGAACACACGCTTCCTGCCGTGCTTCACACTTGACTGACTCACAACTGCCAAATCCGGAGCACACGAGGAGCACGTTACACTTTCCCTGATGTGCAGCTCCTCGTGTGCTCCGGACTGCAGTCGTGAGTCCGTCAAGTGTCCTGTTCGGCAGGAAGCGGGCGTTCCAACGGGACAAGCAACTTCATCCGCTGATACCGGCAAAGTTGGAAATTCCAATTTTGTTCAAAGTCGGAGAAAGTGAAATCGGAGGTGAGTGGTGCAATAATCTAAGTTGGCCTGTAGCAATGTCCTTGCAGTTACCATGGTTACGTGGCAGACAACGATGGAAACTGGGCGCGTTGCATCTCCCAGCAGTTTTCCGCTTTCTCAAGATAATAATCCAAATTGGTGATGTACAAGACAGTATTATAGGGAACAACTGACAAATCTCAAACAATGTTTTCTGAAGCGGCTGCACCACCGTGGAGCTAGCGCACCATAACGGCATAAGACATGTCAAGCAGATTTCTTTTTCGGTTTTGGTCAGGGCAATGCGAGTGAGTGAATCAACTCCATGGTCACTAGAATGTTTAGGCGTTGGTCTCATCTCTTACCTGGAAGCTACTACCTTCGAACTAGTCAGGGAGCCGACCGTCAAAAAAGTGGCGCTCCAGGTCGGGCGAGATGGAGTAAAAGATCTCTTCAGCAATGGGTTATGGGTCTATCAGAGAAGGGCTTTCGAGTTCTTGGCCACCGTCAGTTCACTGCATCTGCAATGTCTTGACACCGAGGTGCTGCTGGCCGTGCAATCAATGCCAATGGTCAACTGCCTAGCCCAGAGGCAGATACAGGGGTTGCAGTGCTGGCAAGTGCATTGACATACTTATTACGGGCTTTTACGGTACTCGCCGATGTATGTCCGAATGTGACAACCCGCTCAGCAGCACTACACATGTGAGCAACAAGTGGACGTCGTTGGCAGCACAGAGCAGAGGATCGCAAACCGGATGAAGAATGGATACTGTTCTCCATGATGAAGGGATCAAAAACCGTTCAACACAGATATTGCGCTACATCGTCTTGCCTGGATGTATGCGGTGGTGCCGCGCCGATGCATATCGCGTCCATGACACTGTTTACAATTATCTGCTTTCAGCCTTTGTTCACATAAAAATAATAATAATGATGCACCGTAGCTGTAGTTTTTTTTTAAATGATTATATTCTACATGTTACCGCCACATTTACTGATTGCATTTGCGGAAATAATAATTATTATTAATTCCTAATAGGTCTAATACTAGTACTACTCAATCTACCACACAGAGGACTGAATGAAGTAGTAGAGGGAAATAATCATCCCATGATCTTCTACAATGATTATGTGAATGCTTCCACGTATGCATGTCACTGTGCAGCCTAGCACCCGAAACTTCAACGAAACAATGATTCAAAGAGACGTTATTCAAGATAAGTCATGCATTTCTACGTTCACTGGTATTACAGTCGTCCCTCTCTAATCCGGCACTTTATAATCCAGCACCCTCGATAAACCAGCACAATTTTCAGTAGCCAAAATGTCCTCTTCATGCACATTGCAGCAGTAAATCAGATTTGTTAATCCAGCACCCTCCCTAATCCAGCAGATTTTCGTGGCACAAATGGTGCCGGATTATAGAGGGACCACAGTATAATCAAAGATTCCGTTAGGCAGCTGCCATGGTGTGTACCTTACCACACGTAACGTTGTCAGTCCGCTCATTGACTAGCATGAAATCGTTTGTAGTGATGATCAATCTACAAAACACTATTGGTAAAAACAATCCAGAGTCACCTCGATGGAGACGGACAGTTCCTACGAGACCTGCCTGTCGACATCAGGGTCAAGTGGCAAGTCATTTACTGATTTAGCCGTTACGCACGACAATCTCAGGAACACCAGTCATGTCCTCCTCCAACGAACCAGCTATGTTACTTCAGAACTCACAAAGACACAAACAGAATGAAATAAATTCTTCATGGACGGAGTGACTTTGCGGTTTTTGCTTCGTGTTTCTTTGTGTTTCTCTTGAAAATCTAGCAAAATTGCGTCATTCGTATGAAAATGTCTGGCTACGTCGGGGGAAACCCACTGATTTTCCCCCATTTTCAAGCGCTGAACGGCGCAAATACTGTGAAATCACGGCAACGAAATAGTGTTCGACGAGCGAACAAACCTCTATGCACCGGCATTGGTGCACAGCTTCGGGACGGCCAAGTTCTCAAATCGTCCTCTAGAGACCCTTACCCACCTCTGTGCGAAGTTTCAAGTCCTCCCTCTGGAGTGGCATACCCCGAAAATAAAAAGCATCCTACAGATTTCGGATCCCCGACTAGAAGCTGATGCAGTGATTTCAGCAATGAAAATGTGGCTGCCGTTCTTGGAGGTCAAAGGTGTGCCGTTGGCGGATCTGCGGAGTTCCCGGCGTCTCTCCTGAAGGCGCAGAAACTATTGCGTGATGCAGTCAAGGACAAGGATAGTGGTGTGCAGATCAGCGGAGGTTTAGGAATAGATAGTGAAATAGGCGGACTCATTAATTTGTCTAACTTACTCTGCTGACGATGGATGAAGTAGGATTGAAAAAGACAGTAGTAACGAACACGACGGCGTTTAGCGGTGCAGGCAGCGGCAAAACTACAATTACTGGTACTATCATGGTGGAATACCGGAGGGTTAAAGATTTGATGCGGAAGGCCGACAATCGTGGTATTGTCCTTGCGTCGCCACTGTTTGCTGAGCGGAAATACCTGGACTTGCTGCGTGGTCATGCACAGGAACAGAACGGCACCTTCTGCAAAGGTCTCTTTGAGCTACTGGCAAGCCTGGTCACTGAGGATGGTGAGTGTATGGACGAGGACAAGACCAGAAGAGTATAATTATGCACATCCTCTTCTTCTATTTTGGTGTCTCCCATGTACCAAATGTTGCCTTGTTACGGGAGGCCGTAGGGAGGTGTGCGAAGAAACCTTTCCAGAATTTAGTTCCTAGGTTTGAACCCAATATGTAGAGGGAGAGGGATAAAGAGAGAGAGAGAGAGAGAGAGAGAGAGAGAGAGAGAGAGAGAGAGAGAGATGCCTGTAGCATGCACATTTCGATTTGTTAAACAATAACACTAATACGGATCGAGAACCAGAAGGGTGTGTCCAGAACCACCTTTCCTCTTCCATGGAACCTCGCCACGCCATGATCAGGCGTCCAATGCCGCAGCTCCAAACTGTGGGGCAGGGTAGATAAGGTAGACGTAATCGTGTGCATGTATGCGTGTGGGAATGTGCATGTGCGTGCGCACGAGTGTGTGTGTGTGTGCGTGTGTGTGTGTGGGGGGGGGGGGGGGAGTGTGTGTTCCTGCACGTGCATGCTTGCAGGCACGTACGTGTGAACATGTGTGCACTGAAGCGCACGTGCATGTGCTTCAGTACTGGTATACGTTCAGGCCCTTCGCACCGACGTTGGAGGTGGGGCGGCCATGGAAAGGGGGGGGGGGGTGCGGGGGTCCTCGCCGGGAAAAAAACTTCAAAAATTGAAGCCAATTTCAAGCATTTCCGGGCATTTGGTGCCATTTCAGTGTACGGTAACTACAATGAAAGTCTTTTTGATTCTGCAACAAACCAAGAAAACGCTACGATCGGGGACAAACATTACCCTCCCCCGGGAAAAAATTCACAAAAATTGAAGCCAATTGCAAGCATTTCCAGGCATTTGGTGCCATTATCAGTGTTAGCAATGCAAGACTTTTTTCTGCAACAAACCACGATCGGGGGGCCGGGGACAAAGATTTGTCACGTTTGCGCTAAGCTGCGATCACCGCGCTTTGTTGTAAAATGCTCAAAAAAAAAAAAAAAAAAAAAAAAAAACGGCCGAAAAGGTGGGGCAGCCTCAGCTGCCCCGGCTGTGACGGCCTTGACGTATGAACCTGTGAACAGAGATTGAGTGTTACGCTCTCTCGCCTTGACTTGGTTCGGCACTTATTTTCTGGCTAGTGTTGAAGGCGAATGTGTTTGTCATGAGTAGAGCACTCTGACCTTGACACTTTCACCTGATTAAAACATACGAAAGGGGAGATGGGGAGACGGAGACAAAGACGAACGAAACAACTACATTATGGAAGAGAGAGAGAGATTGAGTGAGGGCGGCAAGATAAAGGGCCTGGGTAGCTATGGCAGATATGGCCGCGCAAGTAGCTACCCAGGCCAAGGGAACAAAAGGTGACAAAAGGAGACAAAGGGTGAGTACGAGGGTGCATGCAGGCCAGCTTGGAAAAGGTTGTAGAACGTACGGGAGGAGGTACCTAACAGCACACTTGAGTTCATTGCCATAGGATCGGCCGCTCACTCGAGCTACGTTAATGACACCTAGTGAGGCCGAACTAGGTAGTTTTCCGGAGATTGAGTATGAACCTTTGTGTATATTTTGTGTGTTGTGTGCCTTGTTAATATGTGGGTACAAGAATCAGCTACGTTTCAATTTCGCCTGACTCAAGAGGATATCTCGGAAGCTGTGAAGATGCTCACGATGTACAAAACCGACCCGTCGGTGGTGGATTCCGTTTGTAACTTCTTGGACATCGCATTGAATCGCCCATCACCCATAGATGATGACCAGCAGGGTATGTGCGTGTGTGTGTGCGTGTGTGTGTTCATGTGTGTATGTGTGTGTTCGTGTGAATGTGTGTGTGTGTGTGCATGTGTGTGTGTGTGCGTGTGTGTGGGTGCGTGTGTTCGTGTGTGGGTGTGTTTGTGCGTGCGTGCGTGCGTGCGTGAGAGAGTGAATTAATGTGTCTGTGCGCAAGATTATAAGCTCCTTATGTACTTGGAAGGACTTGATAAAGCCTCTCATCACGTAAGGTATTTGCAGGTTCGCCCGGTTTCTCTGCAAATTGTTATAGTCATTGTGAAACTGGAAGGCCTAACACAAGACCAACATAACCCTAAACCTGCAATTTTCACCCTGAGCACCCTTTTCACATGCTCTGCACCATTTAAATAAAAGTTTGTGATTGTGGAGCATGTTCCTAGTATAGTTAAAGAATGTTCCGAGTACTCCAGTTTCAGAAATTGTCGGTGCTGAATATGTTCAGTTTGAGGGGAAAAGGCCAGGTTTGGTAAACAGAAGTTTTCGGTACAGAGTGGCAGTTCCCTGTTGGATTGTGTGTGTTAGTGTTAGTTCGGTGTATTGAAATTTTAGGTATGAAACAGATGCACCGAAAGTACCGAAAATAAAAGTAAACCGAAAATTTGTGAAACTACAGTACTTTTTTCATTTTTAGCATCATCCGTTAGCGTCAGGCTACACTCCCACTCGGCACTGTCTTTGCTGCGCGCCATACTACTGGCCCGCGTCTTCTGGGCGCTGTACTGCAACCCCCGCAGTTCATGAAAATACACACATTTTCTATTCCATGAACATGTTTTCCATGGAGAACGTTTTCCACCACAGTACCCGTTCTTCAAAGACAGGGGTGGGGAAGAGGCGCAGCTATAATGATAAAAATTGTGCGAGTGTGATAGAACAAAATGATCGCGTGTGTGAATTATTGTATCGTTGATAATTTGTCCAATCAAAATATTTTCTCTGTTCTTCGCACGTTTTGTATCTTGTCTGCCATTCTTTCTCCCCAGTTCCCATCGTGGAGCTATGTCCGGGAAGGGAGTGTATCGAGATATGCAGGAGCTTTGTAAACATGATGGAGCACGTCGACAGGACCAAGATGAAGAACAACGCCATCAAACGTTTCACAACGCTCATCCTGCACATGCGCGGCATCATCCAAGGTAGGATCCCGAATGGCTTCGTGCCGTTACGGAGGGCAGGCTTGCTTGCGTTTTGCCAGGGTGCCAATTGTTCAAACTCTACTTGACCATAGAGGGCTCTTGTTAGCAAAATATTAATGGCTGTATCCTCCCGGTGCTGTCTAGTTGGCTCGCAGGGTTTTGACTTGATACAACTCTTCCTGCCGAAGTAATCAACAAGAATGCTCCCCAATCCCCCTCCCCCCCCCCCCCCCCCCCCCCCGACCCCACCCCGACCCCACCCCGACCCCACCCCAATCCACTTCATTTTACAGAGTGCTGTGATGATGTACGGTTAGTCTAGAGACTGTTAAGAGTATAATTTCAGATGTTCTGTTATGATGAGTGGCTATAGTGGAGTGTTCGCGTCTTGACAAGCGTGTCCGTGTTCTGTTGTCTTGTTGTCATCTGCGTAGAAACCGGAGCAATGCAAGCGATCACCGAGTTGAACATTGACGTGTCGCTGTCCAAAGTCCTGTGTTACTTGGAGCCCTCCCGGAATCTTGTCGAAGTCTGCGCCAAGCTGCTCAAATTCTTCGTCACAGATGGTGAGGCATGATGCATGAACTGTGTCAGTCATTGGCCATCTCTTCATGCGTAGTCTACCTATTCTATCAGCAAAGCGTTGTCAAAATATTTATTGTATCATAGCGGTTTTCATTCAAGCTTGCAGAGAATTATGTGTTCAGACACCTCTGCGGCCCAAACAAGTTTTGGCTCCCTGTTGTGACCATGTTTGCAAGGTATTGCAATACCTCATTTCCGGCACGTAATAGTAAGATTACTCGTTGCTTGGCAACCACAGCCCTGTTATCTTGAAAAAGCCTGTTTTCTTTTGTGGTTATCTCTCACAATCAGTATTTGAAAGGCGCATTTCGAAAATATTGTGCAGTAAACCAGTTGAATTACAACCTCACATATCACAACAGCTCTGGAAGAACGACACAGTCTTTGTCATACTTTCAAACTGCACACTTTCAACCTTGCGACCAACGCCGAAGAAACACCAAGCATACGAATACATGAAAGTGTATTATTTTCCTTTACGTTGTGTGTTTTAGATACCTTGAGGCATGCGCGTCGCCAGGGAGTGTCAGCCGCAACCGTGCATGAACGAGCAGACGCTGCCCTTGCCACCTGTGTTGAGGGTGAGGACGAACAGTGGGCGGACAATCCTCAAATGAGAACAGCAGTGCTAGAGCTGCTATCTGCACTTGGTACGTAGAGCATGCTTTAGTTGTCTGTATATTTGTTTAGCTATACTCTATTTCACCATAGGCACAGGCAATATCTGCCTTCTCACTGGACGTATTGCCACAGTGCCTTCTCACTGGGCGTATTGCCACAGTGCTTGCCAAATGATGGGCAGTGATCTCTGCAGTTTGCTGCCAGCCGCCAATTCTGAAGAGAAGAAAATATTGTGTAGCCTGCGATGGCAGTGCGAGTATGTAATCTTTTTTTAGTAGGATACTCAACAAATACGGATGCGGTGACGGGACAGAAACTTCAACAAGGATAAGAAAACTGTGAACGCAGTCGTTGGTGGACACAGAGCATCACGTACAGTCCCTGTCAATGAAATCCAGTCGTGTCACTCAATTTTGCGCCTTGCACCATTTTGCAGCCTAGTGTTCGCAAATCCAGGACTGTGCAACACCCGGTGCGTACTTGAGTGACGCGACTGGATTTCATTGAGCACTGCACTGTACTTACAGTCTACAGAGTTCTGGTGTTGTTATGTTCTCCTCTGCTGATGAAGGTCAAATGGAGACTCAGCAGTGTGGAATTGCATGCAAGTACTGGACGAAAATATTGAACAGTCTCTGCTGGGATGACGACTACACCATAGCTCAGTACTTAGAGCATCGCTGGCCTCAAGCAAAGGTCCTTGGTTCGAGTCCTGGTGGTGACAGTCAATTTGTTCTTCAGACATTTCCCTTTTGCAACTGTCCCTCAAACCTGTGAAAATAGCCAGGCTGGTGATGTTAATGCTCTGCTATTCTTCACTCTTGTTCTGCTATACAGGTTACGTCCCTGTCTCCTCTCTAGTTACTCCTGCGGCAGCTGATTCCGCCGACGTGACTCTCACAGCTCCCACTTCTGCTGCTGCTGCTGCTGCTGCTGCCACCTCGACTTCTGCAACTGCTGCCCCTGCTGCGGTGTCTCCCGCAGCTGCACCTGCTGCCATAGCAACGTCGTCTTCGGACTCGTCGGCTGGCACACAATCTACATCTTCTGGAGGTGAGTGACTGTTGTTGTCGTGCAACGGTGTTCTACACAAATTGTAGATGTACTCTGCGTGTGTGTGTGTGTGTGTGTGTGTGTGTGTGTGTGCATGTGCGTCACAGGGCGGTTGGGTGTGGTACAACGGGGGGTCGGGGGGGGGGGGCGGGGGGGGGGGTCCCGCAGAGAAACAATTCGAATTTTTCGGCCAACAGGGCACGTTTTAGCACTCTACAGCCGCAAAGGAGGGTTCCCCTAGCACTTATTAAACAACCCCCACTCCAGCTCAAAATCACGCTTCTCATGGATTTTTTGGTATTTTCTGTACATCATAGGTGGCCAAGGCAAAAAAGGAAGCCATTGCCCTCGAAAAAATCGCAAAATCCAAAGTACACTGTACAGTTCTAGCGCCAGCCGCTGTTCAAAAACGTAAGTCATGTCCTGCGAAAGTGCGCCACGCCGCATGCACTAGTCTATGTACATGATGTAAGTCATGTCCTGCGAAAGTGCGCCACGCCGCATGCAATAGTCTATGTACATGATGTAAGTCATGTCCTGCGAAAGTGCGCCACGCCGCATGCAATAGTCTATGTACATGATGTAAGTCATGTCCTGCGAAAGTGCGCCACGCCGCATGCAATAGTCTATGTACATGATGTAAGTCATGTCCTGCGAAAGTGCGCCACGCCGCATGCAATAGTCTATGTACATGATGTAAGTCATGTCCTGCGAAAGTGCGCCACGCCGCATGCAATAGTCTATGTACATGATGTAAGTCATGTCCTGCGAAAGTGCGCCACGCCGCATGCAATAGTCTATGTACATGATGTAAGTCATGTCCTGCGAAAGTGCGCCACGCCGCATGCACTAGTCTATGTACATGATGTAAGTCATGTCCTGCGAAAGTGCGCCACGCCGCATGCAATAGTCTATGTACATGATGTAAGTCATGTCCTGCGAAAGTGCGCCACGCCGCATGCAATAGTCTATGTACATGATGTAAGTCATGTCCTGCGAAAGTGCGCCACGCCGCATGCACTAGTCTATGTACATGATGTAAGTCATGTCCTGCGAAAGTGCGCCACGCCGCATGCACTAGTCTATGTACATGATGTAAGTCATGTCCTGCGAAAGTGCGCCACGCCGCATGCAATAGTCTATGTACATGATGTAAGTCATGTCCTGCGAAAGTGCGCCACGCCGCATGCACTAGTCTATGTACATGATGTAAGTCATGTCCTGCGAAAGTGCGCCACGCCGCATGCAATAGTCTATGTACATGATGTAAGTCATGTCCTGCGAAAGTGCGCCACGCCGCATGCAATAGTCTATGTACATGATGTAAGTCATGTCCTGCGAAAGTGCGCCACGCCGCATGCAATAGTCTATGTACATGATGTAAGTCATGTCCTGCGAAAGTGCGCCACGCCGCATGCAATAGTCTATGTACATGATGTAAGTCATGTCCTGCGAAAGTGCGCCACGCCGCATGCAATAGTCTATGTACATGATGTAAGTCATGTCCTGCGAAAGTGCGCCACGCCGCATGCAATAGTCTATGTACATGATGTAAGTCATGTCCTGCGAAAGTGCGCCACGCCGCATGCAATAGTCTATGTACATGATGTAAGTCATGTCCTGCGAAAGTGCGCCACGCCGCATGCAATAGTCTATGTACATGATGTAAGTCATGTCCTGCGAAAGTGCGCCACGCCGCATGCAATAGTCTATGTACATGATGTAAGTCATGTCCTGCGAAAGTGCGCCACGCCGCATGCAATAGTCTATGTACATGATGTAAGTCATGTCCTGCGAAAGTGCGCCACGCCGCATGCAATAGTCTATGTACATGATGTAAGTCATGTCCTGCGAAAGTGCGCCACGCCGCATGCAATAGTCTATGTACATGATGTAAGTCATGTCCTGCGAAAGTGCGCCACGCCGCATGCAATAGTCTATGTACATGATGTAAGTCATGTCCTGCGAAAGTGCGCCACGCCGCATGCAATAGTCTATGTACATGATGTAAGTCATGTCCTGCGAAAGTGCGCCACGCCGCATGCAATAGTCTATGTACATGATGTAAGTCATGTCCTGCGAAAGTGCGCCACGCCGCATGCAATAGTCTATGTACATGATGTAAGTCATGTCCTGCGAAAGTGCGCCACGCCGCATGCAATAGTCTATGTACATGATGTAAGTCATGTCCTGCGAAAGTGCGCCACGCCGCATGCAATAGTCTATGTACATGATGTACACGGCCGGCCCGCGGACAGTCGCGAAGTACTAGTAATTATGTTAGTTGTTTTTAGAGAGAGAAGAAGGTCCATTTTTTGTTCGGTGGGATTGAAAGATCTGCCAGTGGACGGGAGAGCTACAACACTGGAAGCAGAAGAAAGGGCTTGCGGAATCTTCCCTGTCTTCGTGGCAACAGGACTTTAGTTTGCGAGAGACTTTCTTCCTGTCGCCGCGGACGCAATTCTTGTTGCTGCTACCAGAAAATTCGGAGAACGAAACGATCATAAGTCGTTTGGTGAAGCGGGTCGTGTCGGTGAACAGCTGCAGAATGTTCTGCCGCCGTGGAACAGCATTCCAAACACTTCCCTATTCCGTTGATAAGCGCGGCGTTCGCGGGTGTACATGTAATGCATTTTCGCATCAGCTTGCAGTAGATCGTCAGGAGCCAGAGATACTAGGTAGGTGTCGTTGTGGACAGAATATAATTATGTTGTAGCTGACAAGTGACAACTGACATGCTTGTAGTGTCTCTTGACCATGCTGATCGCCATTGTAACATGGTAGATCTTGGAAAATTTTAGTTCTGGACCCAGTGATCGCAGCCAGCACTGTTTCCGTCAAGTTTGCAGTGAATGTGTCCGTGAGGAATCCATCATCTGGGTGTCTCTACCCATGGCTCCAACCGCCTATCGCAATGGATAGCTGCCTGGAGTCTTGGGGTGCTAGCTGCTAGGCATCAAGTCTGAATCAAATAATCGTATGCTCCTTGCAATGAAAGTTGTGATGTTTTGTACAAGTTCGAAGATCCTTGAATTTTTTTATTGCTTTCAAGGATGAATTGGGTGGACCATCCTGGACGAAAAGTGGTACGACCATGATCGTAGTGGTCGTACCATGTATGACGCCCCTGGTGTGTGTGTGTGTGTGTGTGTGTGTGTGTGTGTGTGTGTGTGTGTGTGTGCGTGCGTGTGTGTGCGTGTGTGTGTGTGTGTGTGTGTGTGTGTGTTTCCAATCGATAGGTTGCGGGTTTGATTCCCGGCGATTATGGTCACACACGTCTTTCATCTCTTTGTTTAGACTCCTCCGGACTATTCTTTCATTCTCCTGGGTGGTTACCAACAGCCAGTGCATGCCGGAGTATGTGGTGTGATGTGTGTGCGTGAAACAAATGAATAAGACCAAAAAGTAGGGATTTACTGGCCAGAAAAGCCACTTCATAGCTGCGTGGTGTAGACCAGGCTGAATAGTGGCGGTCAATTCTTCAGCCTTGCAAGCTGTTGAGTACCGTAAAGTCGCGGATAAAAGCCGGGTTTCTACAAGCACATCGCGGATAGAAGCCTGAAAATCATTACGGGTCAAATGCATAAAATACTGTCGCGCGTAGAAGCCTGGCTTCTATGCAAGCGCGGATCGGGTGGGTCATCAAGAGTGCATGCGCTATGTACGGTGCATAGTAAAACTGCCGCCATTCCGGTAGTCAGTGGTCGATCTACGCGTGTTGCGCGTAGAAGCCTGGCATACAAGCCTGGCAAAAAATGTCAGTGGTGCATATAAGCATGGTTTGCATACAAGCCTGGTTTGCATTATAGCCTGATGCAGAAAGCGGCTTATGTGCTTATAAGCCCGGCTTTTATCCGCGACTTTACGGTAGTGCAAACCCAGTACAAGTTGCTATGGCTTCTGCTGTAGCATCGCTAGCATCGCCTTCGGTGATGGGCTTCAAATGGTTAAATGGTCAAATGGTGTGTGTCTGTGTGTGTTTGTGTTTGTGTGTGTCTGAGTGTGCTTGTACGTGCCTGGACGCATGTGTGTGTTCATGCGTGCGTGTTTGTGCTTGTTGTGGTTGATGATAACCTACAGCAAAACGAGGTACGGGTCCGTCCAACAAGACCATGCATGAAGCTACGAATAGGACATTCAGCAGCGGTTGGACCAGAGTACGCCGTATCCGCATCAGCCTCTGCGGTCAGTTTGGAACCGGCAAGACGAGCCTGGCGGATTCTCTCAAGAACAAGCAGTTCGTGGACAATAAGCCGAGTACACCGGTTCTCGATGTTGATCACAGCAATGTGCTCCACGGCGCAGGAAACCTTAAGGATTGGGACTTCGGCGCTGCACTCCTCTGTGCTCCTGACATACTTCACCATGCTGAAGATCTTGAGAAGAAACGCCAGCAAGAGCACGAGCTGCAACAGCAACCGGCTGGGTCTACAGATCATGATGCAGCACCCAGCTCTGCTGAATTGACACAGACCATGATCGATGTCATCTTGGCAAACCAAGAGCTGATGCGAGACATCGGCGAAGAAGAAGTGGTGGCGTCCATTTGGGATTGCGGCGGCCAATCAATCTTCTCAAGCCTGCAGCATTTCCTAATGGGTGAAGATTACGTCATCTATATTCTCTGTTTCAACGCCTCAGAAAACTTCAATGAAATCAAGCAGCAGAAGTACTGGAAGTTGTCAGGGAGTACGGTGTCCGAAATGACTCTGGACGTACCAGAAGACCTCAAGAACATTGACCACCTTCGACACTGGCTAACAGCTATCCACTTTGCCAGCAACCCAGGCAAGGCTGTGGGAAGCGAGGCGTTCGACTACCCGCCTGTGATATTGGTGGGGAACTTTGCCGACAAGCTGTCGACAGATAGGACACTTTCGGAGCACAAGATCGATATCCTCGAGAAGCTGCGAATCCTCTGTTGGCGGTCACCAACATGGAAGGGTGTGATCAAGACCGGTGACACTGATCCCGCAGGGTTGTTCCTTGTGGACAACCACGAGTCCGGAGCTTCTCAAGAAGTTCTAGGTATCCGAGAGAAGCTGCAGGATGCTGTTTCATCGGTGCTGGCAGACAAGGAGATGCCGACGGAATGGGTTCGCTTTGAGATGATACTGGAGTATCTCAAGAAACAACCCGCCCAGGATGGCTACACAACACGAGACTCGATGAGAACACTGGTGGAGAAGGCCTGCAAGATCCGCGACGACTGTGCCATGGACGGCACTCCATCCGAGTTTGAGCGTCTTCTTCGTTTCTACAACGACCTACGCGTCATCATCTATCAGCCGACAAACAAGAACTCGCCGCAGCCTGATGACATCATCTTCCACAACACACAGTGGCTCATCAGGCAGATCAACGTCCTCGTCTTTGGCCACAAGTACTTGGATGAACCTGGAGGAGGTGGTGGCAGGACGGCGAAGGAAGCCGAGACCAGGTATCGCAACATTTTGTGGACAAAGGGAATAGCGAATCGGCAATTGATGGAGTGTGCCTGGAAGGAGGTGAAACGAGAAGTCCGTGAAAAGATGCTTGGCGTGATGGTCGACTGGGATTTGCTGTACAAATTCGGAGACGCCCAGCAAGCAAAGTACTTCATCCCGTCTGTTCTTCAACATCGACCGCCGGAGAAAATCGAGGAGGCCATGCGCAGCTTCGAGCAGGGCAATGAGCTAAACGACGTCTGCTTCTCCACAGCTGACACACCACTGCTGATCATGGTTCAGCCACCAGGTAAGGATGATGAAGACGTCCTAAGCTACAAGTATCCAGACGCGGACACACCGATGCCACACAGCTCCTACTGCAAGCTACTTGTACGGCTCATGAGAAAGTGGGACATCACAAATACCGACCCGAGTCACTGTGAGCTCACCTACAACACAGCCAGGTTTCGGCTGTGGCTGCCGGAGCAGCTCCGTGACCAGTTCCCCGGCAAGGTGGATATCTTCTTGGCTCACTACGACTCGTCAGGTGCACTGCTGGTCAGCATCAACTTCCGGTACTCACCTAAAGGTGCTGCTAGCTCCTCTGATTGGCTGCAGCCGATCTCATCTATATGCCAGCATGTCCGCAAGGATATCATGGAGGAGTTGGATAAGCTGGAGAACCCGAAACTGGACAAACCGGTCATGTTCAGTTTACCACTACCGCCAGTATGCGCATGCAAAGAGCAGGAGTGGAAGGACTACAGCAGCAAAAGCCGGGACCTCGGATACGCACCGTGGCGCGTACTCTACAGTGAATCTGGTGCTCATCACGATCCGTACTGTGCCGGGTGTGATTCGGAGTACAGCATACCCAACAACTCAAACTGCTGGTTCAAAGCTAGTAGTACCTTCCAGGTAAGAGATGAGACCAAAGTCTAAACATTCTAGTGACCATGGAGTTAATTCACTCACTCGCATTGCCCTGATCACAACCCCAAAACAAATCTGCTTCACGTTGAGTACAAATTGTCAGGTGGTTTTGTGCATAAGCTCAAGTTCCAGGTGAAGGAACGAAAGATGTTTAGGCTCATTCTATTGCTAACTTTTGTAAGCTCAAGTTCTATTTTAAAAGCACTCTATTTTGTGAGTCACGTTTTAGAGCGTTTATGCCTTTGCTTCGACAGTATTTATTTATGGTGTGTGTTTCTTTGTGTATGATATACGCGCGCGAATGGGAATTCGTACTTGTACATGTACAGCTCGAAGGACAGCAGAATGATATAGCGAGGCAGCAAGTGGCACTCTGGAAGCTGAAAGCGGAGATTGTCAGTGGGCAGTCACTTGCTACGGTTAGTCACGTCTGTAGAAAAGTACTCCCATTTTAAAATCCTTGAAAAACATTCTTCCATCCGAGGACGACAAGGACTTTGACAAAGTTAGAGCATTTGTTGGCCCGGACACATGCATACTGGTATATTATGTGCATATTCACCTTGAACCGTGAACCTCGAGCACCCATCCGTGATCAGGATGATAGGGGTGTTGTGCAGAGCAGAAGCGGGAGTGCTCGCACACACATACTCACGCTGGCACGTGTATGTTTGTACGTGTACGTGTACGTGTACTTGTAAAATGGAAATAGAAATTTTGGAGATAAGCCACGTGGTCATTCTCAATAATCATGTATCTACACATCATCAAGCAACAATCTGTTGGTTCTAAGAATGTTTTCTTGTGACTATCTTCAGTTTGAATACATCACTGAGTGGTGATCTAGGAATGCCGAGTCCTCCGGCGAATATCCGGGTATATTTAAAATAGGCTTGTTCTACCGCTGTACCGGGCACCCTGTCGGCAACTTTCAGTTTAAATACTACTCTTTTGCCAATTCGTTTAAATATCTTAACCCTTTACCGGCAAGTGCATTTTGATATGAAATCCATAACATTGAGAAGGATGCCAATAACTCACAACGAGGGCACATTTTGTATGTGCAAGTTATGTTTTCTTGGAAGTCTGGTACTTCTTCTTGACGATGGAAAAAATTATTTTCACATACCACACACATACGCTACTAAATTGGCACCTATACGTCTAAACACGGAAATTGTACACAATGCAAATCGTCAGATTCCGACATTGACATAAAACTGCCAAAACAAGTCGACTTCAGAGTGGAAACGAACGCCATAGCCATCACAGACGTCAGTGGCCGTGCCTCGCTCGCAATTGAGAGCAGCATCGCCCCAAAATCGCTGTCCGATGGCTCCGTAAGGTCGTGCGCAAGTCGCGCAGCGCTGCCGTCACTCAGGTACGTAGAAAGTCGATGGCCTAAAATTCCGTCTCTGGAAGACTGTCGACACGGGGATCACTCTCCATGGCTTCCACACCATAAGCACCATCAGATTCTTCCAGGTACATTACGACGACATCGTCTTCAGCGGCTGGAGCTCCCGATATTTGCGTGAGAATTTACTTGGCGTGCGCTCCGCTCCGCAATTTGAAATTCGCTTGCATCGGCGGCTGGAACGAAGTATTTATCTATCTGTCGTGGGTCCCAGAGCGAAGGTCTGCTAGGTCCTCGTCGGAGAAGTCATCTGAGGACGAAAGGAACTCACTGCGCAAGAGGAAATGCACCTGACGACGTTTTGACGGAGGCTGACGGCATTGTCGGCGCGCGTGTATTTCCGTAAATTTTCGATCGCGCAGTTCTCAATGAAATCAAATGGGACACGCGTAGATCTCTTCAGCTACGGATAGGATCATACCTAGGCTGTGTGAGGGCCACGGGAAATCCCCGTGGGCTGATGCTTCCTGTCATACCAGGCATGGTTTTAGTATGCATGTCGAATGCGTCGTTTACGACGCATTCAAGTATGGGGCTGCCGGTAAAGGGTTAATATCTTATAGGAATGGATTTGCTCCCACACTGGAGCTCGCGCTATTCCGCCGACTTGACTTGACACTTGACTGACTCACAACTGCCATCCAGAGCACACAAGAAGTTCATCGAACCTTCGACTCGGCAAACCTGCAAGAATGCACCACTCCCTGCTCAATACACAGTGTTTCGAGGAATCCACCCCTCATCAGTTGAGCTCGAGTAGGCTGAGGAACATTGTGCCTGAAGACCACCACTTATATAGTGCTCTCCAGGCACAAACATCATAATTATGTTTGTATTCCTGGTGATGTTTGTGCCTGGAGAGCACTATATAAGTGGTGGTCTTCAGGCACAATCTTCCTCAGCCTACTCAAGCTCAACTGATGAGGGGTGAATTCCCCGAAACACTGTGTATTGAGAAGGGAGTGGTGCTTTCTTGCAGGTTTGCCGAGTCGAAGGTTCGATGGACTTTTTGTGTGCTCTGGATGGCAGTCGTGAGTCAGCCAAGTGTCAAGTCAAGTCGGCGGAATAGCGCGAGCTCCAGTGCGGGAGCAAATCCATTCCTAAAAAATCATTGCCGAAGTAGCAACAGCTATTTCTTAATATCTTATCTTATTTATTCCCATTTTATTGCACTGCGTTTCGAAATGCATGCCTCTCACTGATTCGTGGAAGAAGGAGGCAGTGGATGCCAGCTCGGAAGTATGCCTCGCTGCCGTGCGCAACATCAATCCCGTCGCTGCCGAGACTTCTGCAATTGCTGCCAGTGCTGCGGCTTCCCCCGCATCTGCGACTGCTGTCATAGCAACGTCATCGCCTAGCCAACCCAACGAGGGTTCTGCCACTCCATCTGAAAAGGATCACACGGCTGCAGACTCGTCGGCTGGCACACGATCTGCATCTTTGGCAGGTGAGTGTTTTTTTTCTTGCGATGTTGTTCTACAGTACAGTCGGGCCCCGAAGAACGGAGAGCTGAAGAGCGACCAGGCTAGAATTTCACCAGTTTTAAAGAAGTGTCTAGTCTGGATTTTCACAGAGAATAACGTAACCAGTACTGCGCACTATAATGTGCGCTCAAAAGTAGAACTCAGAAGTAGAACTCAGAAGTAGAACTCAGAAGTAGAACTCAGACGTAGAACTCAGACGTATTTACCCTGCATACATGCAGCTAGGTTTCATTGGTATATTTCCACGGTTTCATGGCTAGTCAAATTATGTGAACCTGCAGATGTGCGTATGCGTCACTATGGAACAGTCATGCATTGGTACATGCATGTACAGTCCAAATGTAAACTTTCGTACACACAATGACATGTACATGCACATGTATGACTGTACCATCGAAGAAGAATAAAACTGCTGTATTCGCGAAAAATGAGACTGGGCTAGGCTAGAACCCTGCCCCCCCCCCCCTTTTCTTCGGCGCCCGACAGTGCTGTAGATGTGTTCTGCCTGTGTGTGTATGTTTGGCTCAATGCATTGTCATTCATGTGACATTTTCTGGAGCCTGGTCACAGGATTGATTACAGAGGTGATTGGATGTAACGACCTTGCATTTAACGGCAGATTGAGTTAAGCGAATCCAACCTCGTAGCAGGAAATCACACACAGAGTGTCTCCACGTGCCTTTTCGCTACGCTACCAGTGCTGAGATTTCATAGGCATAATCCCTTCCCTCGCAGAAACTCGAATGAAGCCACCACGAAGCGTCACTTTCTGAACAACAGCCCAACATGACGAGTAAGAAGACCTGGTCAACAACAAATCAGCAAAGAGTGCAACAGTAGCGCAAGATGGCCCAGATTGGGCCAGAACGATCTCTTGTGCTGAGCAGCTAGTGCACATGAGTTTCACATGTGTGCCACGCTCCCATGAAAAACTTATTTCTCTCGCGCTGCTATGAGCTCACGTACTTCCGGTGCATGCACGGTTACATGCATTTTCAGGTGCCGAAGGGCCGCGGCTGTGCCCCGAAGTGAACTTTTTTCAATTCTTGATTTTCCAACTCCAATGCATACCTGAAATCCCCGAGTGTCCAACTGCTACGTCGTGATTTTCTACTTGTGCGACGAGGCATCGATGCACACTTGAAACTCGCTTGCACTGTCTGCCCTGTTAAGCTGGGCCATCTTCCGCTACTGTTGCACTCTTTGCTAATTTGTTGTGGATGAATTCGTCTTCCTCGTCATGTTGAGCTGTTGTTCAGCAAGTGACACTTCGTGGTGGCTTCATTCGAGTTTCTGCGAGGGCAGGGATTATTCCCAATATGTCTCAGTGCTGGTAGCGTAGCGAAAAGGCCTATGGAGGCTTTCCTGTGTGCTTTCCTACCACGAGTTTGGATTCGGCTATTTTTTTTTTTTAGTTTTAGTGGATACCTTTATTCAAGACCACTAGTTGGTGCTTGAGGACATGTTGTAGCAGAATATGGTGATGGTCTACCCCAAATTCAGGACGTAACCCCGCTGCTACCGCCAGTACCCTTGAAGACAGCCTCCGTAATGGCCGTCATTGGAGAGGCAGAATTGATCGATTCGCTCGAGGGACTCGGCAAGTCGCCAATCGAAAGTTAGATGACTAAACATTACTACGTAACTTGGATCGGTGTGTGAACATAGTTAAAATCCATACGTATTGTTCTTCTGTTGTCGTGATACGAGTTCGTACATATCATTTCTATCGACTGTAAGACCAACAATACTTTTAAATGTAGGGGATTAGAAGACCTTCGAAACTCACAAAATCAGTCGGGGAAGTGAACTGCGTGAAAAGAGAAGAAAAATATGCCCCCCCCCCCCCCACACGACTTGAACCCGGTACCTTGCTTGTCATGAGCCATACTCTAACTGGGAGAGGGGAAAGACCCAAGTGCAATCAGTACAATGTCATGTATATGTGGCACGTGGTGTGAGTTGCCTTTGGAGTGAAGTGCTTGTCAGCCCCTTCTAGGTTCAGCCTGGTCCCGTAGCTCAGATGGTAAAGCCTAGTTCACATTCGACAGGGCGTGACGGTACACGACTTAAGGATCGACCGGAAGCCATGGGACCGTCTGACGGCGTCCAATGTGAACGGCAGGAACGGGAACGCAACCGTACTACCATAGGGATCGGGAAGCGACGGGAAGAGTTGGATCAGTTCAACTTTTCATACCGTAGAAGGGTGTAGACGGGGACGCAAGCATACACAACTGCAGTATTTTGAGTGTGAACAGGAGGCGTGTGCCGACTACTCTGATTAGTGCTTTGAATTTTTTTACCATTTCGAACACTACGCTGCCCATGATAACTCGCAGAATGGCTCACACGATTTGAGTTGAATTTTAGCAAGATAAGATCCCTTGCTGAAGCCTCAGCCCTTCTTCAAACTTGGTTCTCCTCTTCCCGGAGCGAGGCAGCTTGGCGGTTTGTACAATGGTCTTGGAAGCTGCAGAGGAGCGAGTGTCAATTGTCTTTTCTTTTGCAGTGCCGGCGAGAGGGATTGATCCCCAGATTCAATTCGAACTGTGTGCGGAAGCCAGCATCAACGAGTCACAAGACCATCAGGGAACACAAGAGACATCAGTACTGCCGCCGTCTTCTCTGCGATGCAATCGAAGACAAATGCGCAGAGAAAGATTACCGCGGGAGGCGATACAAGCAGTCCAGAGAGCAACTGTGGACGTTTACACAGTCGGACTACCTATTGATCCGTTCTCTTCAACGTGCAGTGGTTACCGAAGAACGAATAAGTTCCAACGCCAGACTAAATCGGAAGATTTCTGGACTTCGAGAGGCGGATCAACGTGTGGCGGGAACCAACAGCTCACCCCGCGGCCCAACTCCTGTTGCCGCCGTTGGTGTTGCGTCACCCAGTGGGCATACGGCCAATGCTGAGCCAGTCCATGAGCGGGCGTTGGTGGTGGACGACTGTGTGTCCGACCAGACAAGGCGTCTGCTGGAACATGGACCTAGCTTTGTCCCGTCGACGGGGAGGCTCACCAAGCAAGAACGAACAGATGTTGAGACATCGGTAGAGAGGATGGCGTTCACCCTCCGGTGGCAACAGCCCCAGCCTCAGGGTGTGGACCTCAAAGAGGAAGACCCACCGCCAGAGATCAGACAGGACAAGAAATTGTGGAAGCTGATGAAGCGCGGCTTTAAGCAGCCCCCACAGATGGACGACAAAGACGAAAGGAATATGGCCAACTTCCGCGACGAGGTGTTACGGGCATATGACAGACACACACCCTCTAATCCCAATCTGACGCAGGAGGAGCGGGTGGAGCTGAAGCGACTTCGCACAGACCAAGAAACCATCATCAAACCATCGGATAAAAGTAAAAACTCGTTGCTATGAGACAGGAGCTGTATTTGCAGAAAGCAGAAGACATATTATCGAACATGATCATGTATGAGAAAGTAGATTTGACCATAGAGTCCTACGAGACCAAGACACGAGAAGTAATACTGTCAGAGTGCAAGAACATGGATTCAAAACTCCTGAAGTCAATCCTACCAAGCAGTACGAAGTTCCCCGAGTGGTACGGTCTTCCAAAGGACCATAAGCAGAACTTACCATTGCGACCCGTGGTAGCAGCGTGCGACAGCCCAACGACTGGAGTATCTATTGTATTGGAGCGCATCCTACAGCAGCTCATTCAATTTCTCCTGGCCCACCTGGCTAACACGACGGAAGCAATACCCCACATCTGTGACGCATGTCCGGGATTGAACGCCCCCGATGGCACCATTGTTATGTCCATGGATGTAGTCGGGTTATATCCGAGCATACCTATTCGGGAGGGCGTTCAGGCAGTAGTGGATATGCTGCAGCAGTATTCCCAGCGGATCGACATGTTTGGGCTGAGTGTGAGCGGGGTCCGGAATCTGCTGCTGTTTGTTCTCAGCCACAACTATTTCAGATTCGGCCATCAGATCTATCACCAAGTGGACGGGGTTGCAATGGGTAACAATCTTGCACCCCCATTTGCGATTCTATTCATGCATACGGTTGAGGCCAGGCTTCTGCAGGATTCTCCGTTAGTACCGCTCCTCTACAAACGCTACATCGACGATATCCTGCTGCTATGGACCCATGGCAGAGAGAGCTTGATGCGGTTTGTGCAGCATTTCAACTCTGCACACCCGAGTACCAACTTCACATATGAGCTCAGCGAGGTGAGTGGCTCCATAAATTATATGGATATCACAATTATGATCCAGGAAGGCAAGCTGGCATACAAGCTGTACCAGAAGGCATGTGCTAGCGGTCTACTCATTGATTATACTTCGGCAGTTCCCCACCATATCAAATTGGCAGTTGCTTCGTCACAATTCCTAAGAGCTCAGAGGCTCTCATAGAATACCAGAATGCGTGCAGAAAGTGAAGCGAGGGTTCATGAACAATTAAGATTGAACAATTTCCCAGAGAGAATCATTGAAGAGGCACGCACTGCCTCCATAAGGCCAAAGCGCCGTCGCCGTGCCAACCCATGCTGCGCATTTCTAAAGCTTCCATATAAGTCAGATAAAGTACATCAAGCAGTGAATAAAGGAATCAGAAAGTATAAAATTCCGATTAGAGTCGTATATGAGCACACTGGTAACCTGAGGCGCACATTGTGTCGCTCCGCCCTCGTTTCTCCTCTATGTGTCAAGGCTGCAAATCCGCTACAACCGAAAGAAGAGAGGTCGCCCAAAGGGGCCGTGTATCTCGTGTATATCCGGGGGACAGGATGTATGTATGCAGAAGAATGTTGTATATCAGCTGAAGTGGAAAGAATGTCCGGAACAATATGTTGGTGAGACTGGCCGCTTTCTGGAAACTCGCCTGGAAGAACATAATGGTGAGGCAAGACGACAGGAACTCGACAAGCCATGAGGCCAACATTTTCGTACCACTCACCCTGGATGCAAGCTCAACTATGGGCAAAGTGCATTCTCTGCAGTTGAAGTAATAGGAATAGAGCCTGATCGAGCTTGTCGCAAACTGCGCGAGGCGATTGAGATTCATGATGCTAAGCCCCATGTGAACATAAGCACCGGATGGGATTTGTTGTGAATTTTCTTAGCTTCCCCTGCTGCTACTTCAATATCACTGAATATAATATGAGGCGGGTCACTCAAATCCATTCTGTTCTTGATGCCTCGTCGCGTCCCTGGTGGTAACAGTTTGGCATGGAAGTTTAACCTCATAGTGGATTGGCGCATGGGCCTCCGTGCTCCCCTCCTTTAATGTGATAGAATTAACACCATAATTATTTGGCATGTACCCTCACTTCGTAGAGCACAACGGCGCGCTCTTCTTCTCCGTGATGTGCACAGTTGCACTTTCTCTTCCCCCTCTGTATAGAGGTGACATAACTCGCATCATTATTTTATTTTTTTGGCGCTACACTCTGCGTAACGCCATTCACAGAGCACAATGCGCGCTACCTTCTGCTGCTTCTCCTCCGTGATGTGCTAGTTGCGCCTTTTCTCTCTCTCTGCCCCCCCCCCACCCCTTCTGCATACTAGGTGACATAATTCGCATCTTTTTTGGCGCTACACTCTGCGTATATACTGCTCTTGTGTGGCTTCCACGGTATTCATTGTTATTACCTGACCATGGCCAAGTGCCGAAACGTTGTAGAAATAACGGAACTGGTTCGGATGTGATGTGCAGCGCTATGGGAATGGGTGTGTCCACCCGAATTCTTTTCATAAGATCCCTTGTCACTTATCGTATTTAGGGATAGTTCAGCGGCTTGACAGATGAACTGTTTTATTATTTCCTGGTGCTATTATTTGAATGACACAACTTTCAGGGCTACTTTTTTTAGTCTTCCTGAAAAACTGGTATTGTGACTTGATTTCGCTTCATTCAAGGAGAAATAATTGACAAGAAGTCCCGAAAAACAAGAAATTACTTCAAGTAGGTCCGAAAGTCATCCCGTCACGGATCATGCCTTATGACTCGCTCCGTTCGCTGTTGAACATCGCAACGACTGCTGCATGTCGAGTTGTACGAATTGTACAAGATTTTACAGCTGAACCCAGCCGTCCCGACAGGCCAATACGTCCCGTACCGTCAGCGTTGCGTCGAATGTGAACTAGGCTTTAGAGCATTTCTCATGACAAGCAAGGTCCTGGGTTCGAGTACTGGTGGGTTTGGCATTCTTTTCTCTTTCCAGGCAGTTCATTTCCCTGAAAGATCCTTTGAATTTGAAGTTCTCCCAATCCGTTCAAAATCGATCACTTTCTTTCACCTCTCGTAGTACGTTCCAGAAACTGACCGTGGTTGGAATTTGGTCCCCTGAGGGAAAAAGACCAAGTGCCATCAGTATGTGTGGCACGTGTTGTGAGCTGCCTTTGCAGTGAAAAACGTGCCTTCCAGGTTCGACCTGGTTCCATAGCTCAGATGGTGTGAGCATCGCTCATAACAAGCAAGGTCCCGGGTTCGAGTCCTGGTGGGGTTAGCATTTTTTTTCTCTTTTCAGACAGTTCACTTCCCTGACTGAACTTTCGAACAATTTATTGTTTTTTTATTTCCAGGGATGTTTAGGGTATTTCGCACACAATAAATAATGAGTTGATGGTATGTTTTGCCTGAAGCCCCTCCCCTTATGCGAGGCAAAAGCCTGTGGAGAATCCATAAAATTTAATACAATTACAGATGCCTAATGTCGAAGCACTCGTCACGGATTTTGGTCACACGCTTTGCTTACGTGTTTGTGTATATGCTTGTGTTCGTTCTTTCGTTCATGCATGTTTGTGTGTGTGTGTGTGTGTGTGTGTGTGTGTGTTTGTGTTTGTGTGTATGTGTATGTGTATGTGGCTGAGCATGCTTGTACGTGCCTGCACGCATATGTGTGTGTTCATGTGTGTGCGTATGTGTACTTGTTGTTGTTGTTGTTGTTCATCACTTGCAGCAAAACGAGGTACGGGTCCATCCGACGAGGCCATGCATGAAGCTACGAATAGCACACTGAGCAGCGGTTCGACCAGAGTACGCCGTATCCGCATCAGCCTCTGCGGTCAGTTTGGAACCGGCAAGACGAGCCTGGCGGATTCGCTCAAGAACAAGCAGTTCGTGGACAAGAAGCCAAGTACACCGTTGCTCGTTGTTGATCATGGCAATATGCTCCAGGACGGAGGAAACCTGACAGATTGGAAGTTCAATGCTGCACTCCTCTGCGCTCCGGACATCCTTGATCAGGCTGAAGATCTTGAGAAGAAATACCAACAAGAGCAAGAACAGCAGCAACAGGAGCAAGAAGCTGCAAGACTGGCCGAGCCAGCGGCGAAAGTCCCAAAGCGAGCTAAGTCTACAGGACTCCAGCGTGAGGGAACAGCGACGAAAGAGGCAGCAGTAGAACATCCACAGCGCCAAAAGCAGCAACACCCCATCGTAGTGCCTGGACACCGAGAAAACGTGGAGGGGAGCTCTGCACCAAGACACAAGCAGTCATCGAAGGAAACATCAAAACTCACTGCAGATCCAGAAGCAGCACTCAGCTCTGTTGAATTGACACAGAGCCTGGTTGATGTCATCTTGGAGAACCAAGAGCTGATGCGAGAAATCCGCAAAGAAGAAGTGGTGGTGTCCATTTGGGATTGCGGCGGCCAATCAGTCTTCTCAAGCCTGCAGCATTTCCTAATGGGTGAAGATTACGTCATCTATATTCTCTGTTTCAACGCCTCGGAGAACTTCGATCACATCAAGCAGCAGAACTACTGGAAGTTGTCAGGGAGTACAGTGTCTGAAGTGACTCTGGATGTACCGGAGAAGCTGGAGAACATCGACCACATTCGGCACTGGCTAACAGCCATCCACTTTGCCAGCAACCCAGGCAAGGCTGTGGGAAGCGAGGCGTTCGACTACCCGCCTGTGATATTGGTGGGGAACTTTGCCGACAAGCTGTCGACAGATAAGACACTTTCGGAGCACAAGGTTGATATCCTCAAGAAGCTGGGAAAGCTCTGCCACCGGTCGCCAACTTTCCAGGGTATGATCGAGAACGATGACATTGATCCCGCAGAGTTGTTCCTTGTGGACAACCACGAGTCCGGAGCTTCTCAAGAAGTTCAAGGAATCCGAAAGAAGCTACAGGATGCTGTTTCATCGGTGCTGGCAAACAAGGAGATTCCGACGGAATGGGTTCGCTTTGAGATGATAATGGAGTATCTCAAGAAACAACCCACCCACACTGGCTACACAACACGAGACTCGATGAAGACACTGGTGGAGAAGGCCTGCAATATCCGCGACGACTCCGGCATGGACGGCACTCTATCCGAATTCGAGCGTCTTCTTCGGTTCTACGACGACCTACGTGTCATCATCTATCGGCCGGCAAACAAGAACTCGCCGCAGCCTGATGACATCATCTTCCACAACACACAGTGGCTCATCAGGCAGATCAACGTCCTCGTCTTTGGCCATATGTACCCGGTCGAACCTGGCGGAGGTGATGGCAGGACGGCAAAGGAAGCAGGGGCAGCAGAAACGGAGTGGCGCGACTATCTGTGGAAAGAGGGTATAGCACGCCGGAAACTAATGAAGTATGCCTGGAAAGCAGTCAAAAGAGAGGTTCGTAACAAGATGCTGGATGTGATGGTCGACTGGGATTTGCTGTACAAATTCGGAGATACCTCGCATGCAAAGTACTTCATCCCATCAGCTCTTCAACGTCGACCGCCGAAGAAAATCGAGGAGGCCCTGCGCAGTTTCCAGCAGGACAATGAGCCAAACGACGTCTGCTTCTCCACGGCTGACACACCGTTACTGATCATGGTTCAGCCACCAGGCAAGGATGATGAAGACGTCCTAAGCTACAACGATCCCGACGCGGACACACCGATGCCACACAGCTCCTACTTCAAGCTACTTGTACGGCTCATGAGAAAGTGGGACATCACAAACACTGACCGGAGTCACTGTGAGCTCACCTACAACACAGCCAGGTTTCGGCTGTGGCTGCGGGAGCGACCCCTTGACCAGTTCCCAGGCAAGGTGGAAATCTTCTTGGCTCACTACGACTCATCAGGTGCATTGCTGGTCAGCATCAACTTCCGGTGCTCGCCTGACTGTGCTGCTAGCACCTCTGACTGGCTGCATCCGATCTCATCGATATGCCAGCTTGTCCGCAAGGATATCATGGAGGAGTTGGGTAAGCTGGAGAACCCGAAACTGGACAAACCGGTCATGTTCAGTTTACCACTACCGCCAGTGTGCGCATGCAAAGCACAGGAGTGGAAGGACTACATCAGCGAAAGCCGGGACCTCGGATATGCACCGTGGCGCGTACGCTACAGCGAATCCCTTACTCATCACGATCCGTACTGCGCCGGGTGTAAGTCACACTACAGCATACCCAACAACTCAAACTGCTGGTTCAAAGCTAGTAGTATCTTCCAGGTAAGAAATGAGACCAAAGTCTAAACATTCTAGTGACCATGGAGTTAATTCACTCACTCGCATTCCGCCGATCAAAACCCAAAAACGAATCTGCTTCGCGTTGAATATAAATTGTCAGATGGTTTCGTGCATAAGCTCAAGCTTGAACTGAAGGAACGAAATATGTTTAGCCTCCTCGTAGGACCCAAGAAATCGCCCAGCAAAAGCACTTTTGGTTGAGAATTTTCTTAAAACAATTGTTGAGGTTAGGTCTTTATAAGGCAAAGTAATGGTGCAAAATACAAGACTATGTCCAGAGCATTGCATATGTGCAAACTTATCAATTGTCAAAATGGCCGCACATGCTCCTGTTGGAGCGCTAGAAACTCTGTCCAAAGTGAATTTTGACCATGGCACATAAATCGTGATGAGGTCCTAATGTTTTTCTCAGCCTGCCATGGTTGTAGAATTCAAAATTCCATACTCCGTTTCCATGGTTACCATGGGCTATTGCCATGTAATACTGTAATATGCCTTTTACAATCACGTTTAAAGTTTGTGGACTCCTTCATTAGCCCCTTAGCAACAGTTTAGGGTCAACGTTTAAGCCAATGTTAGAACAGAGGCCGTGCAGCATGTCTGTGTATGATGGTCCCACCGGTAGGACCGAGGTCTATGCAAGCTATCATTTGGGACTCCATTTTTTGAATTACATCTTTACTTATGACTTTTCCTTGATAGTATTTATGGTGTGTGTTTGGATGTGTATGGTATACGCATGTGAATGGGAATTGGTACCTGTACACGTGCAGCTCGAAGGACAGCAGAATGCTGTAGCGAGGAAGCAAGTGGCACTCTGGAAGAAGAAAGCGGAGATTGCCAATGATCAGTCACTTCCTACGGTTAGTCACGTCTGTAGAAAAGTGTAGAAAAGTATTCCATTTTTAAAACCTTCCAAGGACGACGAGAGCATAGAGCATTTTTTGGCCCGGACACGTGCGTGCCGGTGTGTTATTGTGTGTGCTCGCCTTGGGCCTTGAACCTCGGGCGCCCATCCGTGATCAGGATGATAGGGGGTGTTGAGCAGAGCAGAAGCAGGAGTACTCTCACGCACATACTCACGCAGGCACCTGCATGTTTGTACGTGTGTACATGTTCTTGTACTTGTACAATGGAAATCAGATTAATAGTAAGATAAGCAACGTGGTCATTCTAAATAATCATGCATCTACACATCATCAAGCAACAATCTGTTGGTTCTAAGAACTTTTTCTTGTGACAATCTTCAGTTTGAATACATCACTGAGTGGTGATCTAAGAATGCCGAGTCCTCCGGTGAATATCCGGGTATATTAAAAAAAGGCTTGTTCTACCGCTGTACCGGGCACCCTGCCGGCAAGTTTCAGTTGAAATACTACTCTTTCGCCAAATTTTTAAAAATAATAATTTTAAAAATTTGGTTATGTTGACGTTTACAAAAACCAGAGCGAGAACATTCTAAATCTAGCGTTGACATTAGAGTGAGATTAAAACATTAAAAAATTCGACGGGTTCGCGTACCGGGAAGGTCAAGAACAAGGAGTCGTACAACTTCCTGGTCAAGAACCACCTTTCCGCTTCTGTGGGATGCCAGATGCAGGTGCAGAGTGTGATTAACTCATGTGTAACTATAGAGAGAAAGAGAAACGGTGGACAAAACCAACAGTGATAAGCAACACACAGCTACGGTGCTATGGAAAGTCTGTGGTGTTATGACGTAATCCTTCTGAAGGCATACGTCTGGTTTCTGCTCGTGGATGTAGACAGATGATTAATTAGAATAATCAACCGTCTTGTCTTATTTAAAGTGTCTCCTCGTCGACACTTGTACTTGCTCACTGCCAGAAGCTGGTCACGTTGTATCTCCCTCGTAGACGGGAGAGATATTGGGTTATTTGAACCATGATTCTATTTGCTGTCTGTATGGTTCCGTTCTGCGCCCCAATTTGCGTCGGTGTCTGACAAGTCTTTCAAAGAGCAAGTCTACGGTACGTCGGGGTGAAAATAAAAACTCCAATAGCTGTACTCTTCTGGATGCTGAGTGCAATGGTACGGATCCCAGCACTCAGATGTACTCCCTCTGTGACCTATTCACAGTGGTGCAGATTTATTCCTGGACTTGTAGCATGCAAAGGCAAATTTGTAGGATGTCAGCCGGCTGATTTGAAGAACTGAGATTATTATAGTGTTCCCTAGTCGGACATGCTCCAGTTGTCTATGTTCTATAGGCCGTCCAAGTGCTGACGTCACACTGACTGAAAACTTATAGTCACACACAGCTACAAGGCCAAATGGTGACAAGTCGCGCGTCACCTGCGCTTGTCGTGTTTCCAACGGTCACGGCATGACTTTGACTGCGGCTTGCTCTCAAGCAAGATCGCGAGTTCAAATGATTTGTGTTAATTGTCTTCGAGAAGTTTCTCCTTCGCCGTCAAGCCATCATGCAATGTTTTCCTGCTGGTTGTTCACCAGCAGCTAAGAGGTCATATATAGGAGTTTTGATTTTTCGCTGGCCGCTGGACACCGGAACGAGCACAGAGTTGACTGGTCTCAGAAGCAAAAAAATGAGCGGTAGCGGCGATAGAAATAACAGAGACACAGGTCAGCTTCAGTTTCTCCTCTAGAAAGCGAAAACTACAAACCCAGCGACAAGTAACTTAGTTGAAATAAAATAATATAATCTCACCCGCGCGCTCCCAGTTAAAATGATGCTGTGCTCCCTGATCAGTTCATGCTGCCACTGGAAACACGACAAGCGCAGGTGAAGCGACTTTTGTTTGTCACCCCTTGGCCAAGTAACTACCCATTGTCGAGAAGCAGTGGCGTCAGACTTCGACGGCCTATTGTTATTTGCAATGACCGCCGTCCATTGGGTGTGTTGCTAATCGTCACCACAATTCGATCATCTGTAATTCAGTGTTTGATTCTGTGCGGAGAAGACGGCAGGTCTGTTGTGTTTATTGCTTCCCATCCACCTGTTTGAATATTTTTTGATTGTTCATTAATTAGGTTGCTTCACGAAAGCCTGCGAAGTATTGTGTTCCATTCATTGTGTATGTTCAAAATTCTTCTGGTCATCCATTTTCTTGTTTTATTTTTCAGGAGGTGAAGAAGTTCCTTGCTGACCGTGCGGACAAGTGTCTGTGTATGCTGGCTGGAAGCAGAGATACACTTGCCGTGGCATCACCGTCGTTCGGCACTATCGAGCCGGCTGTGGATCTGGCCGAGTTATGGAAGCTGTGCTGCCAGTGTGTCGGTGCTGGGCATTCGGATATGATCCTGCGTGTTGCTCGGATGTGCGACACTCTGCAGAGCGAAGATGGGCTTGTTCATGTTCTAAGTCACTTCTGTGAGGAGAAACAGTGTGGCACTTCTGAGCGGTGAGTAAAATTATAAAATAATGCTAGCACGCTCACACCTTTGTTGTCCGGACCTCGAAGTTATGGACGCCTTAGTTATGTATTGGTCCACTAGGGCAGCTGGTCGCCTTATCAGAGTGGTTGCCATGACAGGTTTTCTGTATTGGTTTCCCCGTCCTGCTACACTGCTTATAGCAGTGAGTTCGGGTGAATCTTCTCCTGCCCAGCATAATAATGATACTGAGCCATACTTTCATTCACACATGAAGCTGGCTACTGTTGTAAAGGCACGCTAACTTACGAGCAACGCCGTAGTGGTCACGCTGTGTGAGGACCATCCCAAGTGCATGGAAACTTGAACTGACATTCACAAGCAGTCACCCGTCACCTGTGTTTGTGTCCAGTCTGCCACTCAGGACTCAGTACTCTGGTGTTTGGAGCACCACTGTCTCAGCAGAAATATTCGTCTGCAATTTTATTGCGTCTTTTTCGTCCAAGGAGCTTTTGGACTAAATTAAATGCCGGACTAGTGTCGATATATTCTGCTTTTCAATACACTCTTATGATCCATGGACGAAATTTACAACCGGACGAACTCCCTCTCTTTGGAGCTGGACGAAATTATTGACCGACAAAATTTTCTGCCAGTAAAGTTTATCAAACTGCCTCTACTGGCCATGAATGCACATAGCATTTTCATGCATCTTCAATCTCTTCTTGATGCTGATTAAAAATCGGATGTTGAGCCAATAGTGTTACTTTTATAAGAAAGAAGAAAGGGTCGATAAGTATACATCTCGTTACCTCGGTGGACTGTTAGTCATAACTCGTAACTTAAACATGTAGGTCCTTTCTTCTTTCTTCTTTGTGCATTCTACTTTCAGTAGCGAAGCGGAGGCGCCAAAGGCGAAAAAGAAGAAGTGTAAGCCGCGCAGCATCATGTGGTGCACTGTGTTATGCTGAGCGCTATGCTAGAGCAATATTGATGTATGGAGTGTGTTATTTTAGTTGAATTCGTGTGTGTGTGTGTGTGTGTGTGTGTGTGTGCGTGCGTGCGTGTGCATGTGTGTGTGTGTGTGTGTGTGTGTGTGTGTGTGTGGTGTGTGTGTGTGTGTGTGTGTGTGTGTGTGTGTGTGTGTGTGTGTGTGTGTGTGTGTGTGTGGTGAGTGTGTGCGTGCATACATGCAGACACGCGTGCTTGTGTTTGTGCACGCAGATTGTTTTAGTAGTTTTTAGTACTGCCAGTATTACTCGCTCATGTAGTGGTTCATCTGACCAGCTACAAGCTCCTAGCTGGCACAATTTTACAATTCTCACAGTGCTAAATGTGCTGTAGACAGTACAGTGGTGAAACACGCCAGGGGCATTGGAAGGTATCCTACATTGGTATGGCTATGAAAAGACCCACGAAAAGGCTCTCCATCTGGGAAGGGTTTTGATAAATTGTGCCAAAATAGCCTTCTGTATATCAACTAATTTTGGCTGGTGAGAAACTTTGGCCAATCTCGAATTGAAACTTTTTCGGCCGTCATCATACTTTGGCCGATTGGGGTTTAGAAAGAAACGATCAGTAGGTGTTGCTTTCACATGCAGCCAGGCCTCAATCAAGCATTATTTGCCTCGGTGACAAACTTTGGCCTGCAACTTAATTTGGCCAGTTGGTACCAAGCGGCAAAATTAGCGAAATGATATCGCCAGCGAAAATAAGTTGCTTTACAGTACTGTAATTTCACAAAATTTCGGTGTGCTTTTATTTTCGGTACTGTCGATGCATCTGTTTCATACCTAAAATTTCAATACAACGAACAAACACTAACACACATAATCCAATAGGGAACTGCTTCTCTGTACCGAAAATGTCTGTTCACGTAACCTGGCCTCTCTACAAAATGCGAATTATGTCACCTAGTATGCAGAAGGGGGGGGGGGGGAAGGGGACAGAGACAGAGAAAAGGCGCAACTAGCACATCACGGAGGAGAAGCAGCAGAAGGTAGCGCGAATTGTGCTCTGTGAATGGCGTTACGCAGAGTGTAGCGCGAAAAATAAAATAATGCGAGTTATGTCACCTCTATACAGAGGGGGAAGAGAAGGTGCAACTGTGCACATCACGGAGAAGAAGAGCGCGCCGTTGTGCTCTAGGAAGTGAGGGTACATGCCAAATAATTATGGTGTTAATTCTAGCACATTAGAGGAGGCGAGCACGGAGCCCCATGCGTCAATGCACTATGAGGTTAAACTTCCATGCCAAACTGTTACCACCAGGGACGCGACGAGGCATCAGGAACAGAATGGATTTGAGTGACCCGCCTCATATTATAATTATTCAGTGATATTGAAGTAGCAGCAGGGGAAGCTGAGAAAATTCACAAAAAATCCCATCCGGTGCTTATATTCACATGGGGCTTGGGATCACGAATCTCAATCGCCTCGCGCAGTTTGCGACGGGCTCGATCAGGCTCTCTTCCTATTACTTCAACTGCAGAGAATGCACTTTGCCCATAGTTAAGCTTGCATCCAGGGTGAGTGGTACGAAAATGTTGGCCCCATGCAGGACTGCCACTTGCTCCGATTTTTCGGAAATCGTCCGATTTTTGATCGCCTGTCCGACAAACCGACCGATTTTGTTCCCAAAGAGGGACAATCGATTATTTTATTTTGAGCGCTTTTTAGTCCAGTTGGCCGGGCATTTATACACGTAGATCTACGTACATGGATCTGTAAAATGCCCGTGTGCTTGCATGGACTTGGAGTATGTACGGTGTACAGGCTAGCGCCTGTAGCAACGGCGGTTGCTACAGGCGCTAGGCAGCTAGCTTTGCAACTGCACGCAGTACATGCGGCCTGGTTGACTGTACACACTGTACACACTGTACACACTGTACACACTGTACACACTGTACACACTGTACACATTGTACACACTGTACACACTGTACACACTGTACACACTGTACACATTGTACACATTGTACACACTGTACACACTGTACACACTGTACACACTGTACACACTGTACACACTGTACACATTGTACACACTGTACACACTGTACACACTGTACAGACAGACTGCATGTAGTATGCACGGCCGGCCAGTCACTGTGCTGCAGTCATAGTCCGTGAGCCAAAACTCAAAATCACAAGTGCCGTTGCACTCTCGGAGGGACAAGTCGCCGTTACAGTGTTGGTCAAGGACATCACAAAGGATACGTTTTCGCTTGTTGGACGTTCCAGAACCGATCCAGAGACCTTCATATGATTCTATACTGGAGTATTCTACGTACATGTATTGCAGTAATGGAGTGGTTATAATAAACTAATACTTCACTCACCAATTCATTGCTCGCTATTATCTACAAGTCCAATTCCAGTATGATGAAGTCAAGAGGCGATTTATCCAGCCAAGTAGAGGAACTTGGGATACGAAATCCAAGAGAAATTATTAGGGTATTCTCAGTTCAGCCATTCACAAATGTAATTGTTATTCTTCAACGCAAACTGAGTAATATTTGACCTTGCAATGTTCTTCAGTGGCAACCACCTCCGTTTTTTCTACATGCACAATATGCCAATATTAAATGGTATAGCTGTAGTTGCTACAATTTCGTAGACTTCTTATTGATGTATGAGGTATGGTGTATGCGCCTGGAATAGAATAAAGCAGCAAGTGTTACTGTAGAACGTTGCTACAAGGCTACGGTTGCTGCATAAATTGACATGGTTGTAGGGCGTGTGCTGGACAGTTAAAAATGTGTTCTGGGGCCACAACAGCAAGCCATTTCCCTAAATATTTTCACCTGCGTAACGCCATTCACAGAGTACAATGCGCGCTACCTTCTGCTGCTTCTCCTCCGTGATGTGCTAGTTGCGCCTTTTCTCTCTCTCTGTCCCCCCCCCCCCTTCTGCATACTAGGTGACATAATTCGCATTTTTTTGGCGCTACACTCTGCGTATATACTGCTCTTGTGTGGCTTCCATGGTATTCATTGTTATTACCTGACGATGGCCAAGTGCCGAAACGTTGTAAAAATAACGGAACTGGTTCGGATGTGATGTGCAGCGCTATGGGAATGGGTGTGTCCACCCGAATTCTTAAACTTATTGTTGCGACTTTGGCCGCACCTGCTGCACCAGTTCCGATGCCCCTGCAAACGGTCCGTCGTATCACTGCGGGGCCCGGCGAGTCAGTTGTAAACCTTTTCACTGCACAAGCTTGTGTTCATCAGAAGCGGGCGCTCGCAAGTCTGTAGAGCTGCATGATGGATCAAGTCAAGTCCAGGCCAGGCCTGTTCCTAGTGTCGGGTAGTTCTACTGAAGCAGCGTTAAGCCCAACACTGCTTTTGCATGGCTTGTCAATAGCTTCAGACTTGTATGGAGTTGTGGTCACATCTTGGTCATGTGACTGAATTTGTGCAGAAAGTGATCATGTCATGTGACCAGCGGAACCAACATGGCCGACGTCATGTGACCCATAGATGCAGGAGTTGAGTGGAGTTGAACCCAACATGCCTATCCTGTACGGTCATGTGATAGATGTGAAACCATTCTGATTTCTGTTTCTCTATGTGTGTGTTGTGCCAACATTTTCAGACGAGTCTCAGCTCTCTGACATGACAGCATGGGAGAGTGACGACTTCACAGAACTTCTGCCTGACCTGGTTTCCACGCTAACTCCAGGTGCTATGCGTCGCCAGTGTGAGGCTAAGAAGTTGATTACGCGTGCACAGCGTCAGCTATTTGCATCATACAGTGGCCCTGCAGCGCAGAATGAGGCATTGCTCGATGCACTAAGCACTGGTGATGACGAATCCTTCCACACCTTCCTTGAATGCATCCATAAAGTCGAGCCACAGGCCAGCGCGAGAAGGTTATTGGCCAAGCTGGAACCCGTCGACAAGTTCCGGGCAGCCCGGCAGTACTGCTGAGGACGCATTAGCGTCTGCAGGAGCTTCTGCTGCTGATCCAGTGGGTAAGTAAAGAGCAGTAGGCTGTGCAGGCAGAGGCCAGTTGGGACTTTTGCAGCTCCATAGTTTTTCCGTGGTTTTGGCAGCCCAGCTGGCATCAGGCCGGTCTGAAGGCTTGCAGTAGCTAGCTAGCAAGCAGTAGGACTAGAAGGAGTAGTGTGATAGGGGTAGGGGTAGGGCAGTGTAGTACGATAGGGGTAGGGCAGTGTAGTGCGATAGGGGTAGGGCAGTGTAGTGCGATAGGGGAAGGGCAGTGTAGTGCAATAGGGGAAGGGCAGTGTAGTGCGATAGGGGTAGGGCAGTGTAGTGCGATATGGGTAGGGCAGTGTAGTGCGATAGGGGTAGGGCAGTGTAGTGCGATAGGGGTAGGGCAGTGTAGTGCAATAGGGGTAGGGCAGTGTAGTGCGATAGAGGTAGGGCAGTGTAGTGCGATAGGGGTAGGGCAGTGTAGTGCGATAGGGGTGGGGCAGTTTAGTGCGATAGGGGTAGGGCAGTGTAGTGCGATAGGGGTAGGGCAGTGTAGTGCGATAGGGGTAGGGCAGTGTAGTGCGATAGGGGTAGGGCAGTGTAGTGCGATAGGGGTAGGGCAGTGTAGTGCGATAGGGGTAGGGCATCGTAGTGCGATAGGGGTAGGGCAATGTAGTGCGATAGGGGTACGGCAGCGTAGTGCGACAGGGGTGGGGCAGGGTAGTGCGATAGGGGTGGGGCAGTGTAGTGCGATAGGGGTAGGGCAGTGTAGTGCGATAGGGGTAGGGCAGTGTAGTGCGATAGGGGTAGGGCAGTGTAGTGCGATAGGGGTAGGGCAGTGTAGTGCGATAGGGGTAGGGCAGTGTAGTGCGATAGGGGTAGGGCAGTGTAGTGCGATAGGGGTAGGGCAGTGTAGTGCAATAGGGGTGGGGCAGTGTAGTGCGATAGGGGTAGGGCAGTGTAGTGCGATAGGGGTGGGGCAGTGTAGTGCGATAGGGGTAGGGCAGTGTAGTGCGATAGGGGTAGGGCAGTGTAGTGCGATAGGGGTAGGGCAGTGTAGTGCGATAGGGGTAGGGCAGTGTAGTGCGACAGGGGTAGGGCAGTGTAGTGCCATAGGGGTAGGGCAGTTTAGTGCGATAGGGGTAGGGCAGTGTAGTGTGATAGGGGTAGGGCAGTTTAGTGCGATATGGGTAGGGCAGTGTAGTGCGATAGGGGTAGGGCAGTGCAGTGCGATAGGGGTTGGGCAGTGTAGTGCGATAGGGGTAGGGCAGTGTAGTGCGATAGGGGTAGGGCAGTGTAGTGCGAAAGGGGTAGGGCAGTGTAGTGCGATAGGGGTAGGGCAGTGTTGTGCGATAGGGGTAGGGCAGTGTAGTGCGATAGGGGTAGGGCAGTGTAGTGCGATAGGGGTAGGGCAGTGTAGTGCGATGGGGGTAGGGCGGTAGTGCGATAGGGGTAGGGCAGTGTAGTGCGATATGCGAAGGGCAGTGTAGTGCGATAGGGGTAGGGCAGTGTAGTGCGATAGGGGTAGGGCAGTGTAGTGCGATAGGGGTAGGGCAGTGTAGTGCGATAGGGGTAGGGCAGTGTAGTGCGATAGGAGTAGGGAAGTGTAGTGCGATAGGGGTAGGGCAGTGTAGTGCGATAGGGGTAGGGCAGTGTAGTGCGATTGGAGTAGGGCAGTGTAGTGCGATAGGGGTAGGGCAGTGTAGTGCGATAGGGGTAGGGCAGTGTAGTGCGATAGGGCTAGGGCAGTGTAGTGCGATAGGGCTAGGGCAGTGTAGTGCGATGGGGGTAGGGCAGTGTAGTGCGATAGGGGTAGGGCAGTGTAGTGCGATAGGGGTGGGGCAGTGTAGTGCGATAGGGGTAGGGCAGTGTAGTGCGATAGGGGTAGGGCAGTGTAGTGCGATAGGGGTAGGGCAGTGTAATGCGATAGGGGTAGGGCAGTGTAGTGTTAGTGGATTTTCCCCAATTTCTTTTCCATTCATCTTGCAATGGGCGGGCAGTCAGTTCAAATTCGTAAACTCGTTACAATTAAATGTTCGTTAACAACTTAACCTTACTGGTCTCCCAGTATAGATTTCTAGGCAATTAGATAACACACCCGCAGTGATCCGCATTGTCAGAAGGTCACGTCACTAAAACCAGAGATCGCTTACGCCAGTTGCCATCACTGCACGTGCAGTACAATTAGTTATTACTGCGTCTTGTTGTTCTCTTGTGTATGGACACAGGATGGTGGTGATGATAATGGCCATGATTGATCAACACTGGATCGCGGCGAGAATCTGTTCTGTCTGTCTCTCTCTGAGCCTGTAAGTCCTTCTGTCTCTCTTCCTGTAAGTCCTTCTGTCTGTCTGCCTTTACGTCTTTCTGTCCGTTTTTCTGCTTCAACTCAGACTCTAGACTGAGCTCTCTCCTTCACTTGCTCTCACTCTCGCTTGTTCTCGCAATCCCAGTCTCTCGCTCCCACTCACTCATTAAGTCGCGATATTTTTCATTTGCCTGCTGCATTCGCTATCGTAAGCACTACTTCCTTTGAATATGCCTTTCTTCTTCTTCTTCTTCTTCTTCTTCTTCTTCTTCTTCTTCTTCTTCTTCTTGGTCTTCTTGGTCTTTCAATTGCTACATGACTCGCTAGAGACTGCTTTCCCTTAGCTTCGACTTTGCTCCTTTTATTGGTACATTATCACAAAGTATTTTTTTCACTCCTCAGTAGTGCAGCACCGTGGGCGCCGCGTGCTCAGGCAAAGTGGCACGGAACCAGAATGCTGGATTTCCCCTTATCACAAAGTATTTTTTTCACTCCTCAGTAGTGCAGCACCGTGGGCGCCGCGTGCTGAGGCAAAGTGGCACGGAACCAGAATGCTGGATTTCCCCTTATCACAAAGTATTTTTTTCACTCCTCAGTAGTGCAGCACCGTGGGCGCCGCGTGCTCAGGCAAAGTGGCACGGAACCAGAATGCTGGATTTCCCCGCGCGTGCCCTTCGCTCCATGCACAGTACCTGACCCATGTGTAGAGTCTAGATAGATTGTCTGAGTTGTGTTGAATTGTCATTCAATTTCTTTTTATTCTCAAAAACAAATATCTCTACATTCTATCTCTGTGACTTAGAACCTCGCTTTAGGTCCGTATTTGACTATTTGAGCTTAGACACTGCTGGAAAAGCAGTGCACTAGTCTGACGTCATCATGTCGAATAGCGGAACTTTTCTTTTAAATTCTTTTCCGGTTGAACCGGTATGCTCATAGAATTATCAGCTTCTGCGCGGCTTCATTTCTGCCTATCCTTGGTAAAAGTACAAAAGAAAAACAAGGAAACAGTGGAAAGAAAGGAACAGGGAGGAAAACAAAGCTCAGCCAACTAAGTGAGCCGGAAATTACATTGTTGTGTGTGTACTGTACAGCATGGTGATTAGTGACCCGGTTGAGAGGGTGTGTGTACAGCATGGTGATTAGTGACCCGGTTGAGAGGGTGTGTGTACAGCATGGTGATAAGTGACCCGGTTGAGAGGGTGTGTGTACAGCATGGTGATTAGTGACCCGGTTGAGAGGGTGTGTGTACAGGATGGTGATTAGTGACCCGGTTGAGAGGGTGTGTGTACAGCATGGTGATTACTAGATTAGTGACCCGGTTGAGAGGGTGTGTGTACAGCATGGTGATTAGCAGGGAGCCCTACGCATACGCGAATGACTGTTGGGACATTCTTCCAAAACATGACGTCACAGAATTCGTAAAAAAAAGACAACTTTTGTCGCAAGCGGATAGCCTGTCGCAAGCGCGAGACTCAGCAACTATTACCAGGTGTACGAGATGGATGGACGAACAGTTTTCGTAGGGTGAGTACTTCTTTTTCATGTACTGATGATGTAGCACTGAATGCGGCAAGTAGGACTCGCCCATCCGCCCCTCACCACCTGAACTGAAAACCTGAAGCGTCGAGGAGGTACTAGGCCGTCTGGGCCATGGGGGCGCTCTGGCGGGATTTTATGGTATATATTTTTATTTAATTTTACTATTTTCATGGTAATGGTCCTTGCAGTGCAGCGATAGGTCCTCTTCAGTACTCTAGCAGTCCCATCAACCGATCCATGGCCATATAGGGCTTGAAAGTGCTACGTCACAGCATAGCAACAATTTCAAAAATTCAAAAACTGGATCCACTTGGATCCAGTTTTTGTATGGATCCAAGCACATTTCAAGCGGTCTTACCCACAGCATGGTGATGTAGCCAGTGAAACTGACTGATTTGGCTACTGGGGGCGGGGTTACAACTGGTGGCGAAATCAAAGTCACACCTGCATGCGACATGAGTGGGTTGCTATGCACCCACATACTTAGGCAATAGCAAAGTCACACCTTAGTGGATCCAAAAATAGAAATCTGATGTCAACTTACTACTCCCTGGCCATTTTGACGTCATCACTTTCAAGCCCTATTACTAGCTGCCCGCTACGTCATCTCGGATTCTAGCAGTAGTATAGTACCTCCGAATCCCAGGCACTCGGACTCGGAGCCAGCCAACCAGGACGTATCGTAAAGGAGCGGGCGTATTTCCTCGAAAGGTAGGCCACTGCGATCGAGCACAGTCCAGTGCATTACGGTCTTACTAACGGCTGTAGTGATACTATTTACAGGGGCGTAGGAAGGTCTTCTAGTTCTAAAGGCGGGGGAGGGGAGTTCTGGGGCCATCAATTAGTTCACTGAATATGCTCCTTTACAGGTAAGCAGAGCCTCATGGTTGGCCTCAAGTCAATTTATGCGGTGGGGTGGGGGTGGGGACACGTTAGTTGCATTCATGTTACCCTTACTTGGAGTTACCCTTACTTGCCCCTTAGTTGGGCAGTGTAGTGCGATAGGGGTAGGGCAGTGTAGTGCGATAGGGGTAGGGCAGTGTAGTGCGATAGGGGTAGGGCAGTGTAGTGCGATAGGGGTAAGGCAGTGTAGTGCGATAGGGGTAGAGCAGTGTAGTGCGATAGGGGTAGAGCAGTGTAGTGCGATAGGGGTAGAGCAGTGTAGTGCGATAGGGGTAGAGCAGTGTAGTGCGATAGGGGTAGAGCAGTGTAGTGCGATAGGGGTAGGGCAGTGTAGTGCGATAGAGGTAAGGCAGTGTAGTGCGATAGGGGTGGGGCAGTGTAGTGCGATAGGGGTAGGGCAGTGTAGTGCGATAGGGGTGGGGCAGTGTAGTGCGATAGGGGTAGGGCAGTGTAGTGCGATAGGGGTAGGGCAATGTAGTGCGATAGGGGTAGGGCAATGTAGTGCGATAGGGGTAGGGCAGTGTAGTGCGATAGGGGTGGGGCAGTGTAGTGCGATAGGGGTGGGGCAGTGTAGTGCGATAGGGGTAAGGCAGTGTAGTGCGATAGGGGTAGGACAGTGTAGTGCGATAGGGGTAGGGCAGTGTAGTGCGATAGGGGTAGGGCAGTGTAGTGCGATAGGGGTAGGGCAGTGTAGTGCGATAGGGGTAGGGCAGTGTAGTGCGATAGGGGTAGGGCAGTGTAGTGCGATAGGGGTAGGGCAGTGTAGTGCGATAGGGGTAGTGCAGTGTAGTGCGATAGGGGTAGGGCATTGTAGTGCGATAGGGGTGGGGCAGTGTAGTGCGATAGGGGTGGGGCAGTGTAGTGCGATAGGGGTAGGGCAGTGTAGTGCGATAGGGGTAGGGCAGTGTAGTGCGATAGGGGTAGGGCAGTGTAGTGCGATAGGGGTAGGGCAGTGTAGTGCGATAGGGTTAGGGCAGTGTAGTGCGATAGATGTAGGGCAGTGTAGTGCGATAGGGGTGGGGCAGTGTAGTACGATAGGGGTAGGGCAGTGTAGTGCGATAGGGGTAGGGCAGTGTAGTGCGATAGGGGTGGGGCAGTGTAGTACAATAGGGGTAGGGCAGTGTAGTGCGATAGGGGTGGGGCAGTGTAGTGCGATAGGGGTAGGGCAGTGTAGTGCGATAGGGGTAGGGCAGTGTAGTGCGATAGGGGTAGGGCAGTGTAGTGCGATAGGGGTAGGGCAGTGTAGTGCGATAGGGGTAGGGCAGTGTAGTGCGATAGGGGTAAGGCAGTGTAGTGCGATAGGGGTAGGGCAGTGTAGTGCGATAGGGGTAGGGCAGTGTAGTGCGATAGGGGTAGGGCAGTGCAGTGCGATAGGGGTAGGGCAGTGTAATGCGATAGGGGCAGGGCAGTGTACAGTAAGATCGGGCGCCGAAGAACACCCAGGCTGGAAAACCGGCAAAATTTAAGAACAGTCCAGGCTAGAATTATCAGATTTAACCCTTTCAGCCCTGACCAGAAAATCACCTCCCACTGGGCCAAAAATGGCAATTTTTGAAAATGCATATTCTGGTCCAAAATTGGTTGGAGATGTTGGGTATGGACATATGCACTGTGAATCCAAAGAAATTGTGTAGGATTTCATTGTACGAGACTCATAACACCATATTTAGATATGCGACTTTTGGCGATTTTTCCTCAAAATAATTAATTCATTCAATTTGGGCAATTGATGACAAAGATCAGACAAGCAATGGCAAGCAGTGCTACAACTGGTCAGTGTTGACTTCAGAATGGAGAAATGTCATAATTATAACATGCTTGATATGATCCTGGTGTTCTACGGCAACCTAGACTAGAGTACAGCAACTCGTTTTATACGGCGCTTGCATCATATACGACTCCGCGATCCAGAATGGGTCTTTCTTTTTCTTGGGCGCCTCGTAAAGCTTGAATCCTCCAGCAGCCCTACCTACTTCAAGACAAAACCATATGATGGACAGTGAGGATGCCGAGTAACTGGAGTAGCAACCACAGCAACTGCATCAGCTATAATAGCAGCCGGTGCAGTGGCAGCGGTTGGCTTACTGTGCTCGGCGCATCCCAGGGTGATTCATCGCTGGCCGCACACGTACGTACGCGGCACAGGTAAAGTCATATTGATGGAGAATGCAATGCTGCTCATTCTCTGATTTGGACAGTCACTGGCAAGATAATCCAGCTATCAAAATAGTCTGAAGCATTCCCTAAACAGCCGAGTGCATACTGCGTACCGGTGTACGTACGCATGAACATTCAAGAAACAATCGGCTGCGCAATTTCTGATAGTGATTCAAAATTGCACAATTGTTGACTATTCTGGATTATTCTGGATTCATATAGATAGCAATCTCCATCCTGTAGGTGCCTGGCTCTGTACTCAACATACAATACTTACATGTATGCACATCTCTATTGTGATCTGCATGCATGCCTGACCAGTACACTTGACTTCAAATTCAAATATTTTCAAAAATCTGACCTTCAAAATTTGATCGCAGTTTACTTGAGTAACTTCAGCAAACGGGCTCACGACAGATAGCTCCTGCTCAGAACACCATGCCTAGGTGTCAGAGACTTCAGCATCGCTTTCCAAATCTCTTTGGTCTCCAGCATCCCCTGCGTCCGAGTCAGCTGCGATCTTTTGAATAGCAGCAAATTCGTAATCCTCAGAAAACGACTCCGACACAATTTCGCTGTCTCCAGAATCATCCTCAGAGTCATTACCCGCCTCACACTGCTTCACAGGACTCCTGCCATCGACACAGAGTGGTTGAGCAACTTACCTTGCCGAGAAACAGCAGGGCAAGATGACGAAAACGAACTTTGAGCAAAACAATTTATTTGAACGATATGCCAAAAATACGCACTTCAAACTCGATGCTCGGGGCTGTTCTGCTGTGCAGACTGGCCACATACGCTGCGTACACGTCGATCAGGGCCTTCAGCCCACTGAGGAACAGATCCTGGCCCCACTGATGTTGAGGCATCAGTACAAACGCGACGTACACTGAGGACGTATATATACGTCGTCAGTGGGGCAGGTGCACACGTCATGACGTATATATACGTCGACAGTGGTGAAAGGGTTAAGAACACTTTTAAAAATTTACACGTAGATCTACATTGTACATGTATGGGAGGTGAGTACATGTCATGTACACGTGTAAACAGTAACTGCTACATGTACAGTCATTCCCATTTACGACACCCACTAGTTTAGAAGTACTGCATTGCACTATATGTACATGTACATGTACATGTACATGACAAACGTCATGACGTCACTCGATTCGCCGCGCGCGTGTGAATAAGAACGGTCTGGCTAGAATCAAAAATTTAAGAACTTTCCTAGGCTGCGCTCGAGCCCCTGCGTTCTTCGGCGCCCGATCTTACTGTAGTGCGATAGGGGTAGAGCAGTTTAGTGCGATAAGGGTTGGGCAGTGTAGTGCGATAGGGGTAGGGCAGTGTAGTGCGATAGGGGTGGGGCAGTGTAGTGCGATAGGGGTGGGGCAGTGTAGTGCGATAGGGGTAGGGCAGTGTAGTGCGATAGGGGTGGGGCAGTGTAGTGCGATAGGGGTGGGACAGTGTAGTGCGATAGGGGTAGGGCAGTGTAGTGCGATAGGGGTAGGGCAGTGTAGTGCGATAGGGGTAGGGCAGTGTAGTGCGATAGGGGTAGGGCAGTATAGTGCGATAGAGGTAAGGCAGTGTAGTACGATGGGGGTGGGGCAGTGTAGTGCGATAGGGGTAGGGCAGTGTAGTGCGATAGGGGTGGGGCAGTGTAGTGCGATAGGGGTAGGGCAGTGTAGTGCGATAGGGGTAGGGCAGTGTAGTGCGATATGGGTGGGGCAGTGTAGTGCGATAGGGGTAGGGCAGTGTAGTGCGATAGGGGTAGGGCAGTGTAGTGCGATAGGGGTGGGGCAGTGTAGTGCGATAGGGGTGGGGCAGTGTAGTGCGAGTCAGTTGTAAACCTTTTCACTGCACAAGCTTATGCTCATCAGAAGCGGGCGCTCGCAAGTCTGTAGAGCTGCATGATGGATCAAGTCAAGTCCAGGCCAGGCCTGTTCCTAGTGTCGGGTAGTTCTACTGAAGCAGCGTTAAAGGGGAAGTATACCCTAAAATCAAATTTTCACCAGTTGTAGTCTTCTGGGTGCTGAGTCGAATGGTCTTGGTCCGAGGAAGCTGCGACGCTCCCTTCCTACTTGAATCCCAATCGAACACGCGCACTTCCACCGAAACTGGGTGACTGCGCCCTACTAGATGGGGATTTGTATGCAAAATGTCACTAAAAGCGCCATTTCTTTCTTATAAAAGCACGGATGACCGCGATTGGCCAATATGTTGTAGTCTTTTGGACGCTGAGTCGACTGGTTTTGGTCCGAAAAGGCTGCGATGCAGCGTTCCTCCTTTATTCCCAATCGAACATGGTTGAACAAGCGGTCACGTGCTCCTGGGTGCCCAAATCACCTGGTCACCGCGCCAGCAGGCGACAACTTTCACACCAAGGTTCAACTCGAGTTCAACTCGAGTGACAGGACTGCACCCAAAAAAGGTCAAACAGGCTAGTAAGTTGTACCCTGCAGGCACGGTGACCAGCTGACTGGTGTACGCAGGAGCACGTGACCGCTTGTTCAACCATGTTCGATTGGGAATAAAGGAGGAACGCTGCATCGCAGCCTTTTCGGACCAAAACCAGTCGACTCAGCGTCCAAAAGACTACAACATATTGGCCAATCGCGGTCATCCATGCTTTTATAAGAACGAAATGGCGCTTTTAGTGACATTTTGCATGCAAATCCCCATCTAGTAGGGCGCAGTCACCCAGTTTCGGTGGAAGTGCGCGAGTTCGATTGGGATTCAAGTAGGAAGGGAGCGTCTCAGCTTCCTCGGACCAAGACCATTCGACTCAGCACCCCGAAGACTACAACTGGTGAAAATTTGATTTTAGGGTATACTTCCCCTTTAAGCCCAACACTGCTTTTGCATGGCTTGTCAATAGCTTCAGACTTAGGAACGGAATGTATGGAGTTGTGGTCACATCTTGGTCATGTGACTAAATTTGTGCAGAAAGTGATCATGTCATGTGACCAGCGGAACCAACATGGCCGACGTCATGTGACCCATAGATGCAGGAGTTGAGTGGAGTTGAACCCAACATGCCTATCCCGTACAGTCATGTGATAGATGTGAAACCATTCAGATTTCTATTTCTCTATGTGTGTGTTGTGCCAAAATTTTCAGACGAGTCTCTCGACCAACAGCTCTCTGACATGACAGCAAAGGAAGAGTGACGTCTTCACAGAACTTCTGCCTGACCTGGTTTCCACGCTAACTCCAGGTGCTATGCGTCGCCAGTGTGGGGCTAAGAAGCTGATTAAGGAGGAACAGCGTCAGCTATTTGCATCATACATTGGCCCTGCAGCGCAGAATGACGCATTGCTCGATGCACTACGCCTGGGTGATGACGAATCCTTCCACACCTTCCTTGAATGCATCCGTAAAGTCGAGCCACCAGCCAGCGCGAGATGGTTATTGGCCAAGCTGGAACGCGTCGACAAATTCCGCAGCACTGCTGAGGCCGAATTAGCATCTGCGGGAGCATCCGCTGCTGATCCAGTGGGTAAGTAAAGAGCAGTAGGCAGTACAGGCAGAGGCCAATTGGGACTTTTGCAGCTCCATAGTTCTGTTTCCGTAGTTTTGGTAGCCCAGCTGGCATCAGGCCGGTCTGAAGGCTTGAAGTAGCTAGCTAGCAAGCAGTAGGACTAGAAGGAGTAGTGCGATGGAAGTAGGGTAGTGAAGTGCGATATGGGTAGATCAGTGTAGTGCGATAGGGGTAAGGCAGTGTAGTGCGATAGGGGTAGGGCAGTGTAGTGCGATAGGGGTAGGGCAGTGTAGTGCAATAGGGGTAGGGCAGTGTAGTGCGATAGGGGTAGGGCAGTGTAGTGCGATAGGGGTAGGGCAGTGTAGTGCGATAGGGGTAGGGCAGTGTAGTGCGATAGGGGTAGGGCAGTGTAGTGCGATAGGGGTAGGGCAGTGCAGTGCGATAGGGTTAGGGCAGTGTAGTGCGATAGGGGTAGGGCAGTGTAGTGCGATAGGGGTAGGGCAGTGTAGTGCGATAGGGGTGGGGCAGTGTAGTGCGATAGGAGTAGGGCAGTGTAGTGCGATAGGGGTAGGGCAGTGTAGTGCGATAGGGGTAGGGCAGTGTAGTGCGATAGGGTTAGGGCAGTGTAGTGCGATAGGGGTAGGGCAGTGTAGTGCGATAGGGGTAAGGCAGTGAAGTGCGATAGGGGTAGGGCAGTGTAGTGCGATAGGGGTAGGGCAGTGTAGTGCGATAGGGGTAGGGCAGTGTAGTGCGATAGGGGTAGGGCAGTGTAGTGCGATAGGGGTAGGGCAGTGTAGTGCGATAGGGGTGGGGCAGTGTAGTGCGATAGGGGTAGGGCAGTGTAGTGCGATAGGGGTAGGGCAATGTAGTGCAATAGGGGTAGGGCAGTGTAGTGCGATAGGGGTAAGGCAGTGTAGTGCGATAGGGGTAGGGCAGTGTAGTGCGATAGGGGTAGGGCAGTGTAGTGCAATAGGGGTAGGGCAGTGCAGTGCGATAGGGGTAGGGCAGTGTAGTGCGATAGGGGTAGGGCAGTGTAGTGCGATAGGGGTAAGGCAGTGTAGTGCGATAGGGGTAGGGCAGTGTAGTCCGATAGGGGTAGGGCAGTGTAGTGAGATAGGGGTTGGGCAGTGTAGTGCGATAGGGGTGGGGCAGTGTAGTGCGATAGGGGTAGGGCAGTGTAGTGCGATTGGGGTAGGGCAGTGTAGTGCGATAGGGGTGGGGCAGTGTAGTGCGATAGGGGTAGGGCAGTGTAGTGCGATATGTGTAGGGCAGTGTAGTGCGATAGGGTTAGGGCAGTGTAGTGCGATAGGGGTAGTTCAGTGTAGTGCGATAGGGGTAGGGCAGTGTAGTGCGATAGGGGTAGGGCAGTGTAGTGCGATAGGGGTAGGGCAGTATAGTGCGATAGGGGTGGGGCAGTGTAGTGCAATAGTGGTAGGGCAGTGTAGTGCAATAGGGGTAGGGCAATGTAGGGCAATAGGTGTAGGGCAGTGTAGTGCAATGGGGGTAGGGCAGTGTAGTGCGATAGGGGTAGGGCAGTGTAGTGCGATAGGGGTAGAGCAGTGTAGTGCGATAGGGGTAGGGCAGTGTAGTGCAATAGGGGTAGGGCAATGTAGTGCAATAGGGGTAGGGCAGTGTAGTGCAATAGGGGTAGGGCAGTGTAGTGCTATAGGGGTAGGGCAGTGTAGAGCGATAGGGGTAAGGCAGTGTAGTGCGATAGGGGTAAGGCAGTGTAGTGCGATAGGGGTAGGGCAGTGTAGTGCGATAGGGGTAGGGCAGTGTAGTGCGATAGGGGTAGGGCAGTGTAGTGCGATAGGGGTAGGGCAGTGTAGTGCGATAGGGGTAGGGCAGTGTAGTGCGATAGGGGTAGGGCAGTGTAGTGCGATAGGGGTAGGGCAGTGTAGTGCGATAGGGGTGCGGCAGTGTAGTGCGATAGGGGTAGGGCAGTGTAGTGCGATAGGGGTAGGGCAATGTAGTTCAATAGGGGTAGGGCAGTGTAGTGCGATAGGGGTAAGGCAGTGTAGTGCGATAGGGGTAGCGCAGTGTAGTGCGATAGGGGAAAGGCAGTGTAGTGCGATAGGGGTAGGGCAGTGTAGTCCGATAGGGGTAGGGCAGTGTAGTGACATAGGGGTTGGGCAGTGTAGTGCGATTGGGGTAGGGCAGTGTAGTGCGATAGGGGTGGGGCAGTGTAGTGCGATAGGGGTAGGGCAGTGTATTGCGATATGTGTAGGGCAGTGTAGTGCGATAGGGTTAGGGCAGTGTAGTGCGATAGGGGTAGGGCAGTGTAGTGAGATAGGGGTTGGGAAGTGTAGTGCGATAGGGGTAGTTCAGTGTAGTGCGATAGGGGTAGGGCCGTGTAGTGCGATAGGGGTAGGGCAGTGTAGTTCGATAGGGGTAGGGCAGTATAGTGCGATAGGGGTGGGGCAGTGTAGTGCAATAGGGGTAGGGCAGTGTAGTGCAATAGGGGTAGGGTAATGTAGGGCAATAGGTGTAGGGCAGTGTAGTGCAATGGGGGTAGGGCAGTGTAGTGCGATAGGGGTAGGGCAGTGTAGTGCGATAGGGGTAGAGCAGTGTAGTGCGATAGGGGTAGGGCAGTGTAGTGCAATAGGGGTAGGGCAATGTAGTGCAATAGGGGTAGGGCAGTGTAGTGCAATAGGGGTAGGGCAGTGTAGTGCAATAGGGGTAGGGCAGTGTAGAGCGATAGGGTTAGGGCAGTGTAGTGCGATAGGGGTAGGGCAGTGTAGTACGATAGGGGTAGGGCAGTGTAGTGCGGTAGGGGTAGGGCAGTTTAGTGCGCTAGGGGTAGGGAAGTGTAGTGCGATAGGGTTAGGGCAGTGTAGTGCGATAGGGGTAAGGCAGTGTAGTGCGATAGGGGTAGGGCAGTGTAATGCGATAGGGGTAGGGCAGTGTAGTGCGATAGGGGTAGGGCTGTGTAGTGTGATAGGGGTAGGGCAGTGTAGTGCGATAGGGGTAAGGCAGTGTAGTGCGATAGGGATAGGGCAGTGTAGTACGATAGGGGAAGGGCAGTGTAGTGCGGTAGGGGTAGGGCAGTTTAGTGCGCTAGGGGTAGGGAAGTGTAGTGCGATAGGGTTAGGGCATTGTAGTGCGATAGGGGTAAGGCAGTGTAGTGCGATAGGGGTAGGGCAGTGTAGTGCGATAGGGGTAGGGCAGTATAGTGCAATAGGGGTGGGGCAGTGTAGTGCAATAGGGGTAGGGCAGTGTAGTGCAATAGGGGTAGGGCAATGTAGGGCAATAGGTGTAGGGCAGTGTAGTGCAATAGGGGTAGGGCAGTGTAGTGCGATAGGGGTAGGGCAGTGTAGTGCGATAGGGGTAGGGCAGTGTAGTGCGATAGGGGTAGGGCAGTGTAGTGCGATAGGGGTAGGGCAGTGTAGTGCGATAGGGTTAGGGCAGTGTAGTGCGATAGGGGTAGGGCAGTGTAGTGCGATAGGGGTAGGGCAGTGTAGTGCGATAGGGGTAGGGCAGTGTAGTGCGATAGGGGTAAGGCAGTGTAGTGCGATAGGGGTAGGGCAGTGTAGTGCGATAGGGGTAGGGCAGTGTAGTGCGATAGGGGTAGGGCAGTGTAGTGCGATAGGGGTAGGGCAGTGTAGTGGGATAGGGGTAGGGCAGTGTAGTGCGATAGGGGTGGGGCAGTGTAGTGCGATAGGGGCAGGGCAGTGTAGTGCGATAGGGGTAGGGCAATGTAGTGCAATAGGGGTAGGGCAGTGTAGTGCGATAGGGGTAAGGCAGTGTAGTGCGATAGGGGTAGGGCAGTGTAGTGCGATAGGGGTAGGGCAGTGTAGTGCAATAGGGGTAGGGCAGTGCAGTGCGATAGGAGTAGGGCAGTGTAGTGCGATAGGGGTAGGGCAGTGTAGTGCGATAGGGGTAAGGCAGTGTAGTGCGATAGGGGTAGGGCAGTGTAGTGCGATAGGGGTAGGGCAGTGTAGTGCGATAGGGGTAGGGCAGTGTAGTGCGATAGGGGTAGGGCAGTGTAGTGCGATAGGGGTAGGGCAGTGTAGTGCGATAGGGGTGGGGAAGTGTAGTGCGATAGGGGTAGGGCAGTGTAGTGCGATAGGGGTAGGGCAATGTAGTGCAATAGGGGTAGGGCAGTGTAGTGCGATAGGGGTAAGGCAGTGTAGTGCGATAGGGGTAGGGCAGTGTAGTGCGATAGGGGTAGGGCAGTGTAGTGCAATAGGGGTAGGGCAGTGCAGTGCGATAGGGGTAGGGCAGTGTAGTGCGATAGGGGTGCGGCAGTGTAGTGCGATAGGGGTAGGGCAGTGTAGTCCGATAGGGGTAGGGCAGTGTAGTGAGATAGGGGTTGGGCAGTGTAGTGCGATTGGGGTGGGGCAGTGTAGTGCGATAGGGGTAGGGCAGTGTAGTGCGATTGGGGTAGAGCAGTGTAGTGCGATAGGGGTGGGGCAGTGTAGTGCGATAGGGGTAGGGCAGTGTAGTGCGATATGTGTAGGGCAGTGTAGTGCGATAGGGTTAGGGCAGTGTAGTGCGATAGGGGTAGTTCAGTGTAGTGCGATAGGGGTAGGGCAGTGTAGTGCGATAGGGGTAGGGCAGTGTAGTACGATAGGGGTAGGGCAGTATAGTGCGATAGGGGTGGGGCAGTGTAGTGCAATAGGGGTAGGGCAGTGTAGTGCAATAGGGGTAGGGCAATGTAGGGCAATAGGGTTAGGGCAGTGTAGTGCGATAGGGGTAGGGCAGTGTAGTGCGATAGGGGTAGGGCAGTGTAGTGCAATAGGGGTAGGGCAGTTAAGTGCGATAGGGGTTGGGCAGTGTAGTGCGATAGGGGTAGGGCAGTGTAGTGCAATAGGGGTAGGGCAGTGTAGTGCGATAGGGGTAGGGCAGTGTAGTGCGATGGGGGTAGGGCAGTGTAGTGCGATAGGGTCAGGGCAGTTTAGTGCAATAGGGGTTGGGCAGTGTAGTGCGATAGGGGTAGGGAAGTGTAGTGCGATAGGGGTAGGGCAGTGTAGTGCGATAGGGTTAGGGCAGTGTAGTGCGATAGGGGTAGGGCAGTG